GATTTCATGATCTTCCATTTTTAATCTAGTCATTAATCTTCAGTAGAATGCATCTTGCAGAAAATGCATGTAGGCTCTTATTTGTCTGAAAGTAATCAGGAAAGGAGAAGATAAAAAGGCTAAGTAATTTGAGTAACTTTCAAGTTTTTGGTGTTCATGCATTCTGCATTTTGCTGTTCTCCATTGTACTAGTGAACAGGCTTTGCTTAGAGAGTCTGAAACTTCATATGGATTTTCTAAGATTTGGTTATCCTTTGGCTTTTTCTTTCCAGGGAAGGAATTCATCTGTGCTGAGTAGTTCTTAATCACACTTATGTACTTGCAAGATGTATAGGTGACCTTTCAACTTCTTTATGCTGGAAATTGAATTTTGTATTTGAATGTGCAATTTCAAATTTCTAAATTTGAAGAGTCAGGAAACAGAAATGTTACAACTTGTCATTTAGGGAGAGCTGTAAGGAGACATTCCAGAGCAAATTTTGGTTGGTGGCAAAATTAATTGGATGTGGAAGAACAAGGTTGATGAAGGGTTGAAATAGGTAATGGTGAACATATAAAAACTAAAACAGTGGACCCCAAGTTTTCTTGTACTGTGAGATCTTGTTACCAAAATTGTCTATTAATTATTGTCTTACTGGTATATGACCAGGCATTAACACAAAGTGTTTGAAAAATAATACGGTTCTACAAGAGCAGTAATTTCTTAAACATTAGTTAAAGCAATGAGCAGTTTACATATATGGTAATTTATTTTCTGTTTAAAATTACACTTTTCCTTCTTTTTAGATTCATAGTTCATTCAAATTTAGGACAAGAAAGTACAGGCCATGGAATGGAGTAGGGGACAAAGCTGACAGGTTTGGTGGCAGAATGGATGCCTGGGAGTGACCACGTTTGTTACCACACGCAGTTGTGGCTTTTGGGGAATAGTGCAGGGTGGCCACAGTAGAAGGGCAAGGCGAGGGTGCTCTTGAGTATATTCATAAGACTGAAAACTTGTGTATGAAGCAAAAGGCGAGGACATGTCAGATTAATCAAATTCTATAGACTTTTTCTATTTATTAAAGGAAAATTAGTCAAATATTAAGAGGCTATTATAAAAGGCATTGGGATGCGTACAGGCAGAGTGAATAAAATTGATTTTTGCAAATGTGGAAAATACTGCTTCTATTTGTACTTTAAAAAGACACAAATACCAGTGATTCAATTAGAGTAACATCAGGCTTGTTTTGGCAGACTCGAGGTAAAGGAAAAACTGTCTTTAATATCAGACTCGATATTCAATTATATATGCACTGTAGAATAAAGTCACTTCTTTTAACATAGTCATACCAATTCAAACTTCATGGTAGAGTCTGTTGTCTGTTTTTCTCTTCCAGGAAACTGAAAATAACACTCATTTAATTGCAGTAGTTAGTTATTGGTGAAAATTCATTTGTAAAGATCTGATTTTTCTTTCTTACTTTTCAAGTGGACTATCTGGGTAACAGATGAATGCAGCGTATCTTGGTCATGAATTAGAGAATTTGTTAAACACGTGAAAACCTTTCTTCTTTCACCTTTTTGCCATCATTAATCTAGATTTGAATCTGACGATTGTGGAAAAGGAAGCACGTTATCTCTTCAAGGTCACTTCTAGGCTGAACCATTCCATGATTCTATGTCAAGAGAATTCTGCCACAAAACTGAAATAAGTAGTGTGCCAGACTTCTTTCAAATGTTTCAATATTGTAAAAGTGTAGTGATTAAGTTAAGTCTCTAATTAAGTGAAGTATCTCATCTTTCTGGGATACCACTCCAACTGTGCTATTTCATTACTAATTCGGTGGGATGCGCTGTGCCCAAAACACCCTGTTAAGTCACTGTCTCTTTCTGAGTTTGGTAAGAGTGGAAAAGGACATTTTTGTAGCAAAATACTTGTCATATACATTTCCTTAATAGAGTTTAAAACTGTACTTTGATAAAACTAAACTTTGATAATTAGACTTCACGGTGCAAGAAAGCTTGGGGTCCACTGTTTTAGTCTTTAAATGTTCACCGTTACCTATTTCAACACTTCTTCAAATTTTTTCCTCCACATCTAGTTAATTTCGTCACCAACCAAATTTTGCTCTACAATGTCTCTTTACAATTCTTCCTCCATGAAAAGTTCTAACATTCTTGTTTGCTAACACAAAGTGCAAAAACTTGTCTGTGTAGTTTTGATTCAAAAAGCAATTTGAAGCTGTTTTCTGACTGCTTTATGAAGCGTTCAAAATTTCAGAAAGAAATGGCATGTTGCAAGTTGAAGGACAAAGTTTTGTGCAGAACAGTTTCAGAAGAGGTAGCAACGCGTAGTAGTTGATTACTCAGTGACGAGGGTTAGGGCTGGGCCGGCCACTAAACACTGACACATGCTCTCTAACCCTTCTCCATCCCCAAACAAGAAGGGAAAGGGAATAAGGCAGACTTACCGATTGGAAAAGAAAACTAAAACGGCTTTGATAAAACAATAATTGTACTAATAATGAAAATAGTAATTAATATGTACAAAAATGATATTGAATCCAACTCCTCCCCGAGTAGCAATCCTCACTGATGCTGCAGAGCAGGGAGCACGAGGGAAGCCCCAGGCTCAGCGGTGGAGGGGAACCAGATACGGGAGCTGGCATCAGGAACTTGCAATGAAAGGCAGAAGAACGGATGGAGTCCTCTTCGGACACCAGCCATTGAAGAAGCAGCTTAACCCCTGTGATCCCTCGTTTTTTTACTGAATATGACTTACATGGAATAGAACACTCTTGTTGGCCATCTGTCCTGTGCAGGTGGATCTTTTTACTTTCTTGCAACACTTTTACTTCTCAGCACCGCCAAAATGTTACACATGATCCATCAGTGACCTTGGCCGCTACAGGAGCAAGTATAAGCAAGAGCCTTTCTGCATAGCAATCCCAGGCAGTAACTGTAAACATCAGGTGTTATCACTTCTAATAGCAGACACTGTCTGCAAAGACATGCTGCTGACTTCAGAAAGTGCAGCCTCTTAGAAGAGACCGGACAGAATTGGTTCTGTTTAGCTCAAACCAGAACAAGTAGTAGCAGGTGGTGATGATAGAATGGATAAAGGACTAAGTTTTACGGGGTGAGATGGCAAAGTTACTTGCATCTGATTAGGGCCGACATTGTTGCAGTGAGAAAAAGCTTTGGTCCTTAACTAGAGTTCTTAAACTGGCAGAACTATGTCTGTTGCAGTTGGGACACTGTTCTGCCTATGCTATTGATGTTTGCTCTACGCAGCTACAATCTAAGGTTAGGAGGAATTTGTTCACAGACCTATTATTACTGCTGAGGTAATCGTATTTTGAATCAAGACTTGGAATTAGGATGCTACTGTCATAGATGTTGTAAAGGTGCCTTTGAGTTCTTAATCTTTGATGATTTTGAAGAAATTTAAGGGAAATAGGCATCCAAAAGCCTCTGGTGATCCTATGTATAGCTTTATAATACCTTCTTCCTCTTACTTTCCAAAGAACTTTTACCTATAGATTCACACACGTAAGAGTATATTTTGTAGAAACTTAAAATTAAGGCTTATCGAGAAGAGAATCTGCTAAGTGGACTGTAAAGGAGCCCACTTACGGAGAACTACTCAGTAGTAATTCCTTGTTTACTGGAGGTGTACTAGGAGTACTTCTGAATGCTCACTCCAGGCTTAATCTGTTTATGCAAGAGAGAAAAACTGGACTTGTGGAGAAGAAATGAGTCGACTTATGTATCTTAGGTTTATTAATTCTTATTGTGGTTACATCATTTAGAAGCACAAATTTAAGGCTCGGCTAATGTATTTTTCAAAACCTATTCAGTTAAATTTGTACTCACACGATGTTTTGGTACTACTTCGGTTACAGCAGTTGTGGGTGCTAATGTTTTTGTTCTGTGTTTTTCCACAGTGTTCATGAGTAATTCCTACAGAATGATTGCCTAATAGAGCTATATGTATTAGCAGACTAGTATTTGAATCACTGGGAAGTTCTAAGATGTCTTCAAGGTTCAATAGCATATTATTGCTATGCTGCAAATAAGAATTCAGTAGTCAAATAATAGAGAAAAGAACAAGGATCTTTAGTTTGACCTTACTTTTCATCCCGATGGTGGTACTCTGACATGTGCTAGGGTAGAAGCAAAAGGATTGGGACAGACCAGACAGAAGAAGGATATTTTTAGTAAAGAGAAATAATGAAGGTAGTGTTTTTTAAAATGGACAATAAAATCTGAGGATCACTGAACAAATTTGTTATCTTTTTCTGCAGAATTTCTTTAAGATATGAAATGTAGGTGGCACTGGGCTTTGTAAAAGCCACACTGACAGCAGTTTAATTTGGGTAGAAGTACTGTGAAGCTGAGTTTAGAGATAGCCCTTTATGTGGAAGTGTGAATTTGGTAATTATATGTAGGAGGAACATCTAGTGCTGCCTCAAAAGCTGAACATTTACTGCGTATGTTAATGCTGACTCAAAGGAAGAAAACACTTAGGCTCTCTGGTTCTTGACAGGACATCAGAATTCACAAGTTTCTCAACTTGCATATAAGTGTTATAAATAAAACTCCAGCAGGAAAAAATATTGTACTAGAAGTTATCTCTCATTTTTAAAGGGCTGTCTAATTATAAAGTTTTAACTTGAATCTCCTATATTCACAAACTGAAAACAGGAGTTGAAGCTGATGATACTTCATGCTAAAAAGGGAAATGTGTTTTGAAATTGCTTTTCTTTAGCTTCTGATATACTGTGTTGGCAGTCTCGCAAAACTGCACTTGCCCTCTGTAATTAGTGGGATCTTTAATAGCCCACACTTAATGTCCTTGTTAGTAGGAGGTGCTGATAATGGTTAGCAGATCAGAGAGAAAAACCTGCTCCGTTTTGCAAGGCTGCTGAATACAGGTTGCATTAACATGAATTAATTTGTACTGTAGGAAGTAGTAGCATGCCAATAATTAACTTGTTTGTCTTCTTCCGTTTAAGGTATCTAGTGGATAGTCGCTGGTTCAAACAGTGGAAAAAATATGTTGGTTTTGACAGCTGGGACAAATACCAGATGGGAGATCAGAATGTGTACCCTGGTCCTATTGATAATTCTGGACTTCTCAAAGGTAACTGCTTCTGATTGCGTACTAACATCTAGTGCAAATTTGCCACAGATTGTTCATCTTTTGTAGTTGATAGTGTGAATGAATCTCAGCATATGTGAAGATGATGGTTTTTGTTTGTTTTCAGACCGTGACAAGGGAACTGGAATAGATTTCCCTTACAAATTACAATTTTTTAAATAAAATTACTGGAACCTCTTTGCAATGGTAACAGAATATTTAATAATGTACAAATTTCTGGTTTACAGTGATACTTTGGGATACCTTGGGAATTGAAATTTAGTCAAGTTTACAGAGAGCTAGCCCGAGTTCACCAAGACTTTTTTAGCTTAACTAAATTAGTTGATTTAAAGTAACATTTTTAATTTGAACTTTAAAAATTTCTTTTTGTAAATGAGCCCCCAAGATATTCCTTTGATTCTGGAACAACTGAAAAAGAGATATATTGCATTTAGTGGTGATACAAAGTGGTGTGTAATGATAATTTTCTAATTTTTATGGTCCTCTAAGTGTGGTTAAACTCTGTCACTGCTATACTCACGTCTGACTTCTGCTGAATTATAGTCAGATTTGCAGACACAGGTTTCAGAATACTTTCCCAGATATTTTAATCTTTCGATGAAATTCTGTATTTAATGTCCAGTATTGAAATACTAATAGAGCTGTTAATATTTAATCTGCAAAATCTAGTGGATACAAAATCTAGCAGGTAATGGGCTTCCTTCTTTGCAATTACAGGTAACGTAATAGTACCCCATCATGTGTTTGCACATAGTAATACAAATTCTTACAGTTTCATGGGGCTTGTGATGAACTCTGACTTTCTTCATTCAAAACTTCTCAACTATAATTAATATCTCATTATTTTACAAGTTAAATGTTAGAGATGATTACCTCTTTCATAGGACTTGTCATACTGTGTTGTACTGGTTGTCAGTGTGAGTGTGGATGTCTGACAGTGACAAGTATTGGTGCCTTTGAAGAAGGTGCTGTATTGTCATATGAATCTATATGTTCTCTTCCATTCATGAACTTAAAAGGTCTTTTTGCTCTAGGTGAGTGATGTGTTTTGTTTTCTGAAATATAAGGAACTAGATCTTTTGTACATTCTTGTAGTGTATCTTGCAATGAGGTAAATAAGAATTCAGTTCTTCATGGAGATAAATATAATTAATGTGATCTAATAAATGAGACTTCATTCACTGTACCTGCTTAAAAGGTACTTTCCTTTTTTCCTCCCCAGGCTGTTTCATCCTAGCTGTACATGTAACAATTTTTGAGAGTCAGATTTTGGTTCAAAACTCTCTTGACTGATTACAGAAAAAAAAAAAAAATCTCTATTCCAGAACTACATACAAGAAACATTTGCTGAAATAATGCACAATTTGCGCTATCAACTCTTACTTGACCCTCTCAACACTACGTATATGGTGGTTCCTTTACAACTGGGAGCAAAGCATGGGAAGAAAACCACAAATACGTCATCTGCAGGCCAACGTATCTCTTTAAAAGGTTCATACTGTGTTTATGCACTGATCCGACATTGCTACAGGAGTTTACAACGGGAAGATACAATTTGCATTCCGTTCTGTCTTTGAACAACCCCTAACATTTCTTCTTGTGTGATTTTTTTCACAACTTTATTCCCTCATGTGCAACATTGTTTTCTATGATAAACCATCAGCTACTCTAAATGACTACTTCTTTGCGCTTTCTTTGCTAATCATAAACTGATTATAAATCTCTTCTTTTGAAGACGACTCCTGTGTATTCCATTACATCCAACATTTTTTGCATATGTTGAGATTAACCGAGATCTCTCTTACTTTTCACTGCTCTCACTTCATCTAAGTGTTCTGGAAATAAGGGAACAGCATTTAAGTAATATAAGCACGACATACTGCTTCAGTTTCTCAGAATCAGTCTTTCTTGAATTTAATAATAGTTTTCCTTATGACTGCATTACACTGCAAAGTATCTGAGAAAGGGTGCCCGTTTTAGCTTATTTGATTCTTTAAATCAGATGCAAATTTTCAGACCTGACACTGAGGGAGAGCAATATGAAGAGCAACTAGTGCATCGTAGGTGCCAAAGACAGGATTAAAACCAAGCATTTCCAGGTTCAGTTTATGCTACATAGGAAACCTAGCACAGAGGATTGCTGCTTCCCAGCAGGTGAAGGAGACAGCTCATATTTGCTGAGCGCTAATGCCCTTGATTTTAAGACTGCCTCTGCACAGGAACAGCAGATGTCAGACAGCCACTAGGTGCATGATACCAGTGCCAGTACAGAGTCACAGTTTTAGAATCAGGAAGAGCAAAAAGCAAAATTTATAAACACCCATGCTGTGTTTATTTTGAAAGGAGTATTGGCAGAGGTCAAAACGATAGAATACAGGTTTTCAGGAGCCTTTAGCAAAATGGCTAACGTGACTTTAGATTTGGACAGATAACCTCAATACAGGGTTCACACACACAGTAACATAATCTGAAACTGTATGTAGATTAAGCTATAAATAATGCAGACCAACTAACAGAGTGCTTTGCACATCTAGAAATCTTTATATATATATATATATATAGTTGATAGATACAGAAGGGAGAATGAGCTGATGTTGCCTCACTGAGGGTAAAGGATCTTGCTACATTGCAACAGAAAAGTATCACTAAAATGTCTGCCTCATTGCAAGACATACTACAGGGATGTACAGAAGATCTAGTTCCTCAGGTTGGTGCTGGTCTCTTCTCACAGGTGATTAGGGGCAGAACCAGGGGGAATGGTTGCAAGTTGCAACAGGGCAAGTTTAGGCTGGACATTAGGAAGAAATTCTTCACAGAAAGAGTGGTCAAACACTGGAACAGACTGCCTAGGGAGGTGGTTGAGTCGCCATCCCTGGATGTGTTCAAGTGTCACTTAGATGTGGTGTTGGGTGATATGGTTTAGGGGTGACCTTGTAGTGTAGGGTCAATGGTTGGACTTGATGATCCCAAGGGTCTTTTCCAACCTGAATTGTTCTATGATTCTATGATTCATGTTCACCGAGACGTTCATATGAAATTCCGTTCTACTTTTTGCTTAAGAAATGTAGATACTGTGGCTCCCAAAGTGGAATCCAAATTCTGAAGTTTTCTTCTGTTTTCCTTGTTTTGCCTACTGTGTTGCTCTTTTTGTTTCTTCTTGCTAAGATTGCAACAAATACTTTGACTGCTTCTGAACTTGATTATCCCCTCTTTCTAAAATAACTTTGTAATTCTAATAAATGCTTGCCGGTATTTTGGGGCTTTTGTTAGGGGTTTTTTTGATTAGCTATTCCTCCTAAGCCTTTTACCATTTCTGGCAGAAAAAATGCTTGCAAAACATACTGTGCCTTCTCGACAAGCATGAAGTCATCTCTGAACTGCAGAGATTGCATGTTAGGGAAACAGTATCTCTTTACCACCTCTGAGCAGCTACTGGTAGCAACAAGTGTTGGACACTTAGACAAGCTGAAATCGATATATATCTCCCATGAGCTTCAAGGTACTTCAGCTGGAGAAGGAAAGAGAGAGTCAGCATCAGTGATAATAGGAGCAAAAGAAAGCTGTGCATCCTTCTTTGTCCTTATTTTCACTATTCAGGTGATTAAAGTAAAAAGCATTGGGTTTTTTCCCCGTATTTTTCCTTAAAATCGCAAGCACTTTAAAGCAACTGAATGTGAGGAAGTGCAGATAGAGTAGGGAGATTTCTAGAGTCTTGGTAAGCTGAATCATGTTCACTCTTCCAACGAGGAGCTGAGCACATCTCTGAAATGTCCTCAGTAGTGTTGCCCTCCTACGGAAAAGGTCATGTTGAAATGTGTTTTGTTAATTTCTTATACAACAACAGAAAAAAAATTTGAATAGTTATTATTAAAGGATTTTTAATCTTTACGTGTGCCTTTTTTAATGTTCAGGACGTTATGCTGTGTTTGCTCAATCTGTGCAAAGGAAAAACAAGAGAAGTATAGAAATAAGATCAAATGAGAAGACCTTAGTGCTTTTCATATGCGCATAGCATGCATTTATATTTGTCCTTGCATAAAAATGAAGGTAACAATATTAATTTTGCTTAGAAGTATTACTTTAAAAAAAAGAAAATGAAAGAGGAAGACCAATACTTGAAGCAATTTGAGATTATTTGAGGTTACTTTTATGCTCAGTTTTAATTGTGCAGTGTAATTCTGCAGTTCATTCACATAAGACAATTGAAATAAATATTATTACAGTCTATTTATTCTTTATACATAGCCTGTTTATTTTCATACTTCATTAAGTTTGTCATCTTGATTCATTTCTTGGAGCTGAATATGTGGGTCTCCTTGTTTGATCTCTTTCTGTACTGAGAGGGGTTTGCTGGCCTGTAACTGGTTACTTCCAAATGGAAAGACAGCTGCCCTGGTGTCTGGGGCTCACGGTGACTCAGATCTGGAATTGCTTCTTACACATATAGGATAGCTGCTGTCTTACTGCTCTAGTAAGGTTTGAACCAAAGCTAAAAGCAGGCTACTTACGTTGCCAAGTTGTACTTTCATGTGCTGCAACTCACTGTCCCTGTGAGGAATTTTGTAGGGACTGTGTTTTCAGAGCATGTAGGATCCTTTGAGTATGAGAGTTTTACCATGTTAATTTCCCAGTCTGGCATGGAGTGAATGACTTCAAACTTTGTCTTGGATCTACTGTAACTACCCAGTTCTGCATTTTCAGTGAAGGATGCAACTGCATCAAGAGATGAAAGTAGCCATGGTGGTGTGGGAATACGTGCAAAGTGGGTGGAGAAATAGGTTGGTTTCTCTGAAGACTATGGTGGTGTATGGTAACAAGTTAGGTGCTTCTGGCTGCACAAGGATATGGAGTTGTCACTTGGGTTCCTGAGTGTAGAAATACTATAGGTGTGCTATGCATGAACTTCATAGCTTGCCTGAATAGTTTCAGAACAGTCTTGTTTTCAGCACCGTAGTACTGATAACATAACTGGGACTCAGAAAATATTTTGGCTGCCATTTATATGAAAAATGTTACATTAAGAACTTAAGTAACAGAATTACAGTATTCAAGTGAAAATATCTTTCTCTTCTAGATGGCGATTCTCAGTCTCTCAAGGAACATCTCATTGATGAGCTGGACTACATCCTTTTGCCAACCGAAGGCTGGAATAGGCTAGTTAGCTGGTACACGCTGATGGAAGGACAAGAGCCAATTGCACGCAAGGTACTTTTAAATAACCTACTGGAATTAATGTGGTTCAGATATAGTCCTGCAAGTAGCTGGAGTTGCACACGAATTTGTTAGATTTTAAGTCTTGGCCTATGATAATCATGAAGACATTTTCTACTTTAGTAGCTTACAGATATCAAATTTTTATTCAGATTTTAGAGGCTTAAGTTTTTAATATTGAGAAACAGGGACACAAAGGATTTTTATTTTTTTTCTGAAAGTAAGCCCTCGAGAAGAACTTGCTTTAGAAGCTGGTTAGTCTATTAATGCAGATGGTTTTGTAATTAAGTATAAAACCTTAAAACTATATTGACTGTATTGGTGAAAAGTCTAGCTTCTTTGCCATTGTTAACATTATTAGAAATTGGTAATTCCTTTTCTCCTAAGCACAGTATTCTCCGTTCAGCAACTTGCTTTGGGAGTTAATCAAAAAGCTTACCTCAACACAAATAGTAGTCCATGGAATGGTAGATACTGTGGCCCTCTCAGTATGTGATACTTAAAAATTAACATCTTTGATGTTAATTTTTGTTTGCTCCAGATTATACCATCCTTGTTATGAAGGTGCTATGGCGTTTTACCACTTTATTGACCATACAGTCATTTCTCTTTGTATTATTTTTTAAAATTTTTGGATTGGTGATTACAGTTGCATCGTCTCTGGACTTAATTAAGTTTTAAAATACGTTTTGGTATGTTTGCAATTTCTAAGTTGACTGTTAAGGCATGTTCTTTCAGTTACAAGAATCTTTATTTTAATTCCTGAAAAACTGCTGCAAGAGTATTTTAGTTAGAATTTAGTTTTATGTGACTTCTGGTGTAATATAACTTTTATTTTTCTCCTATGACACTGAGTATGGCCTAACTACATGCATGATGGCCACTTACTGGAAGTGCATTTCTTTCAAACAAGATGCTAGATTTAGCTGTAGAAGAAATTTTGTGTCTTCAGTATTCATTTGGTCAGCAATACAAGTAGTTTATTGGGTTGTTTGGGTTTTTTTTTTTTCCAAATGTTCTTCTTATTAAAATAAGATTTATTTTTTTTTTTTAAAGAGACATCCCTGGAATGTCTCTTTCTCTAGTTCTGTAAGAGCTGAAATCCATTAAAATTACTCTCCTTTTTTAAAGATATATCTGTTATCAACTTATTACTGTTTTTCTTGAAGATGGATTTCAGCAAACTGAATGCTCTTCCAATTGTCATGGTAAAGGAAAAGTTCTGTAAATTTTTCACTTTGGGGGGGCGAAATGAAAGGAGAGACAAGGGAAGTTCAAGGAACTTGCCTTCTGCTTGGAGGGAACTTGACTAGAAAACTTTGTGAAATGTCATGAGTGACCAGGTAAACTGGCATAGTTTCATTATTTTTTGCTGATATGAACAGTAGTTATCCCTTGAGACTCGTATTTTGGTTCAGAATTTTTCTTTCTGATTCCTTTGTCATTTGTTCATTATTCTTTCTCCTGTCTTCCTTAATGTTTCTTTCACAGAGGTGGGATGATATTTATTTTATTCATCCCTTCTGTTACATCTTATTTTTTTGAAATGTGGATCCAAATTTTAAACTGATACGATGTTGTATTTGGTCTGCGTCAAAAAACATTACGGCGTAGGATGTGGTAACACTGCTGCTAAAGTACTTTTATTCTCAGAAACGTCTTAGCCATACTGCACAATTTTGTTTACTGCAACTGTTTTGTTGTTACTCTAGTAGCTGAAAACTCCACTAAGCTGTTCAAATCAAGATGCATTTTTATTTAAAAGTCGTGGTTGGCAGTCATTAAAGCTAGGAGAAACTGCTGAACAGCAGTGAAATCATTCACTTTTTTTTTCCTATGGCACATGCATACAAGTTATATTTGTGCAGCAAATAGATCTCTCCTAGCAATTAGCTCGTGGCTTTTTTTTTTTTTTTCCATATTTGTCAGCTGTATCACATATCAGGCCGATGGTTATTTTTGGAACCGTCTACATGACTAAGTACTGCAGTTACACTTTGGAAGATCAAAAGGAAAAACATTTAAGAGGTGACCCTGAATATTTTTTTACTTTTATTAAAAAAAAAATCCTGTATACTTTACTATTTTGTAAGAGGTGCTAGAAAAATTAACATAAAATAAAGAACTGTAATGAGTAGCTGAAATATCAAATGAGTGTATTTGTTATCGGAATGTAAGAGGAAGATTTGTAGGTTTTGCTTAAAAATGTGGTATAGAGATTTTATTAGTGTGTATCCTGGTTTTGATAAGTATTCTTTAACTTTGAAAACCAGTTCTTCATGTTTTGAGGAAGTAGCATACAACAAATGTATTTTGTAATAAAAATAACTTATTGTGTTTTTTATCTTTTGATCAAATACATTATCTTTTTGTTAAGCATGCGTTTTTGTGGTTTCCACTGTACATAACACTTTGAAAGTCATGGTAATGGTGTTATACAGAGGTAAGACGTGATCTTGGGAAAAAAAAATCACTTTTTAGTGTATTGTATTTCTAAAAAGTGCTAGGACAATTGTAGTTCTATTTTTTTGCATTTATTAAATGTCTTACATTTCCTGGACTTCAGTTTCTTGAAGAGTTTTCAAAAATATTTTGAAGTGTGTATATGAAAACATACTCGGACTGATACCTGATCCAAATCTGTTTTTCAGGTCGTTGAACAGGGTATGTTTGTGAAGCACTGCAAAGTGGAAGTATATCTAACAGAATTAAAACTTTGTGAAAATGGAAATATGAATAATGTTGTCACACGAAGATTTAGTAAAGCTGATACAATAGGTATGTACAATTCTCTTGAAAAATACATGATTGTTACTTGTTTAAGTAGTGCTTGGTGGCAAGTTCTGAATAAATAGGTCTCTAGGTAAAATGATAGATATTGTAACTGTTAAAAAAGGATGGGACTAGTCTTGGGTCAAAATTGAAAGTTAAACAATTGGGAATATTTAGGGGGTTAATACAATTCCTTTTAAAAGTGTGCATTTTATTATGTAGGTATCAGTGTAACTCTAGACGTTTGCGCTTCTCAGGAAGTGAGCAGTGTGATGCTTTTCATTATCTTTATTGAATTACACAGTATTTTTCTGGCTTTTGGTGTGTAAGATACCTTTTTTTCATGTGTGTCCACTTGTGTTTTTTATTAGCCAATGCTTTTTAGTCATAAAAATGAGAAGCATATATTACAAAACATTAGAATGAATTGAATTTATAAATTAACAGTGAAAGGCAACCTACAAAGGCAGTATTCTTTTGGGTTGTGAAGTGGCAGGCCAGGCACAATCTTTTCCAGTAACTGAGTCCTGTATTAAATCTTTACCTTATCTTTGTTTGTAGTTATTTTACCGGCTCTTTGAGCATTGTCCCTTGTTTGAAAACTGTATTTAGATAACATTGGTCTTTGAAAATAGCAGTCAGAACATATGCAAAGATATTGCTGAATGTATAAAGTCAATTTTTTGGTGTATTTGTGAGATTAGAATCTTTCAATCAGGTGTATTTGTGCAGTTAGAATTGTATTTTATGCCCTTGGAACTTTATGCCCAGCCATTACTCTTTGTTTATATTCTTTGACAACAATGTCGTTTTTTCAGGTTTTGCTTCTCTTTGTGTTACAGGTGACTGATACTTGCTAGCTTTTAACTCTTTGCTGATTGCTTACTTTAAAAACAGAAACATTTTACTGTCTTAAATTTTAATCTTTGTTAAGCAAGTAATCATCTGCTCGTATTAGAATAAAAGCCGTAAAAATTGTGAAATTTGCCCTTGAAACAAGGGTTCAGAGTTGTATGTGATTTAACTTGGTAAGATGTGCTTCGTTACTCTCTAAGCAAACCCAAAAGCTTGGGAATAACAGTTTAACGTTATCCTTCCATGAGGACTAAATACAAGCTATTTTGCAGCTATACTGAATTTAATTGTACCGTTGGAATTGTAGGTAGTGCATGAATTTTGGGTATTTTCTTTTTCTCATCAGAGGCAGGGCAGTTTGGAATGACTGTTGCTTGGAGGTGTATTCATTTTTTTCGTAGCAGAGAGAAAATAGCAATTATGATAAAATTGTCATAAAGGGTAATGAGAAACAGCCGGGCTCACTGACAACCCCTTTCCAGACCTGGGCCTTATTTGCTTTCCTGAGATGTGGATGACACACTCTGGAGAGCCTTAAAAACAGCCCCGTTCTGAAGCTGAAACTTCTTATGCAGAGAACCAAACAGGGCCATCCCAGGACATCCAAAAGTTTTTATCTTAAAACAAGAGGTAGAAAAATTAAAAGCACTTATAATACTGAAAAAAATTAAATAATTCCTGAGGTTTTTCTTTTATCATCCACTAATAAGATGGTGACTTTTTTTTCCCCCTTTTCCTTAAGTATAATATAAAATTTACCCACCAGCCTTGAAATTTGTGTTGTTCCTGGAATACCTTTGGTTTCCAACTCAGATAGAAACCAAGCTAACCTGTATGTCCAGGAGTTAGTACAAGGTAGGAAAAAATAATTAGAAAGGACAGACCTAATAATGCCAGACTTTTTCTTGGGGTGGTACTGGGCACACTGAATGTGCTCTTCGATCCTTCTCAGGAATCTCTTACAGTTGAGGACTCTGGCCTTGCAGGCAGTACATACTAACTCTGAGACTGATTGGTGACTAACTCTCTTGGGGAAGGGGTTTTAATTCCAAAAAAAATATGAGCAGACAATAGATGTAGTTCAGGCAGCACTTCAATCTAGTTATTGTTGCTGATCCTGTAGAGCATCAGGGCTTCTGAGGGGAAATGCAATAATGATTCAGTCAGGAGTCTTAGTTGTATGAAAGTATAATAAGAGCGAAGTAGTTGACTAATGTGTCGGCCTTTCCTGCCTTTATTCAGGAGTTTTGCGAACCACAGAATGACGGAAAGCTTGTCTGTAGCCTCTGTTATGGACGAATAGGAGTCAGGTTGTGTCTGCAATGCCATAAAACAATTCCAAAACTGAGGTAGTGGATTTTATAGAAGATTACACCAGTGGCTCTGCACCTAATGTACTTTTTGAGTGTTGCTAGTAAAATACCTTGGTGAATGGTTTTGGTTTATCTTTCCCTTTAATTTGCTGCAGAATACAAGAATGCAGAACTTGCCATCCTCAAAAACAAATTGTTCTGTGACTAGCCTTTCTCTTTTTTAGGAAGGTGGTATAGCTGTTTCATAGTACAGATTAATATTTTACTACAGTTCTTTTCACTAGTATTTGTGATAGCACTAGTCTTCAGGGGCCAGGATCTGCTTCTGTTAGAATCCACTGATCCGTCTCCAGCATCTCATCAAGACTCTTCCATATAGTCTTGCAAAATAATACTTAAATCATAATCATGCAACTGTTTGGGGTTTGTTTGGTTTTGTTGTGGATTTTTTTTTATTTTAGCAATATAAGGTATATCCTAGGTGGAGGTAGGCAGAGGAGAGAATCATAAAGTGTGCATTACTTACATTTGTGGAAGTATGTAAAAGAACTTTAGTTTCACAGTCTTGAAGTTAGGTGGATAGTCAGACGGAACATGCTTTCCCCAGAGTCTTGGCCATAACGTGTGGTCATCTGATGGGATTAATGCTTCTTGTCTCTGTTTTTTTTTAGTGAAGATGGAATATGTTAAAAATTAACATAAACGTTGACTTAGTACTTGCGAAGAATCCAGGCTGCAATGCTCAAGTAATTAATTGTGATGGTATTCATAAGATAATGAAAAATTGTCTTTTGTAAATTCTTCTTTTAGTGAAAACTACTTATAAATGTGGATTATTTGCGGAGGGAAGATTATTACTGACTAGATTCATTCTTACATTCAAATGCAGTTGTTTGAAATCACTGGTTGAGTATTGATTCAGATATTACATGATTTTTTTTAAAATAAAAAAGTCAAATAAAAAAGTAACATTCAGTTGCCTTGTTTATAGCACCTACCTTGCCTACATATCATCTCTATTACAAAAACAGATGATCCAGTCTAACACTTGCTTTCATACTAAAATGTGTGTTAACTGGTGTAGAAGGAAGTTGTATTCAGTTGCCTATAATATCTACAAATAGCGGATTGGCCAGTTGTCATGCATTTTAAAAATGGCTAGATTTTTACAAGGTACTTTGAGTTTCAGGTCTATTTTGACTTTTCAGATTTAACATAATAGACGAGAAAATAATAATCATAAGTAAAAGGGACCAAGGGGAATGTTGGACGAGCTGACACGCTGGTGTTTTGTCCTGAGGCTTAAGGAGAATGTCTCTCAAAGAGCTTACAGTGCCTATTTTTGTAATTATGTTTTCAGTGATCATCAGGAATAAATGGTGCATTTCTTGACTCCTGTTTAATTTTCTATGTTAGCTGTTATGAGACTTGGCTGTCATGGGGCTTTACAAGCATACCAATTTAAATAAAATAATAATAATCTAAGTGAGGTTGCTGTGGTATAGCACTGTATATGTTAGTTCAGATTAAAGAACTTCTTAATAAGCTCTACTTTTGCATAAGGAGAATGGAACTAATTATGCACTTCTTAAATTTCTGTTGTAGACAACAGTTCTACTGTGTTAAAATTGTGTAACACTGATTACATTCCTGTCAGGTAGAGTAGGAGCTGGTGGATCTTTTTATGTTACATCTTTCAGGAGCATAAAACTTCTCATCATCCTTTTAAAATAAATCTATGTGCTTCGTTTATACAGAGTAGTCTTTAATTTCTGTGAGTGTGAAAATGAAACTACGCATCTGTATTGTGGTGTAGTGCTAATTGCACTGGAATATGGGTAGCAGAAGAGTGGGGGGAAAAAGAAAAAAGGGGTTAATTTAGGGACAGGAACAGAATGGCTTGCACTTCCTGCTCCTGGTTTTGCCACCAGTCTTGCTTCTAATTGTTTCCTACCCACCCATGCTCCTGTGTTACCACACTCTGAGAAGTGAGTAGATGGGTACCTAGGTACCTCCTGTCACCTGCTATTTATCAACTTGTCTTTATTTGGTCTGCTTTTCTAAGACGTTCAGGAGAGGATAAAATAGTCATCTGACTACTTCAAGGGAAGCAAACTTGCAGCTTCTTGCTTGCCCTACATCATGATGCAGTTTCATGGCTTTTTCTACAGTTTTGAATATAAGAAAAGAGTAGGTCGTTCTGATGCTTTATTCAGACTTACAGTGTTTGTGTAGTGAAATGCTAAACTTGTGTTCTCTCCCTTTCAAAACAGATACAATTGAAAAAGAAATAAGAAAGATCTTCAATATTCCAGGTGAAAAAGAGACCAGATTGTGGAACAAATACATGAGTAATACTTTTGAACCTTTGAATAAACCAGACAGTACCATACAAGATGCTGGTTTATACCAGGGACAGGTACAGTATAATATTATTTTGGTTTTTTGTACACTTTTTTTTTTGCTCATGAAAATATGGACTTTCTTAGTTAGTTTTCCTTTTTAAATGCAAATTGTCAACTAATAGAGTGCATTAAGGATAGAGAATTTTATAAAGAAATTCATCAAAATAAAAGTATTTGAATGCATTTTCAGGATTAAAGATGAGTTTAATTCTCCTGGTGAATTAAAAGTAGATGAACGTAACATTGCTGACTTGAATTTGGTAAAACCTGAAATAAAAAAGTATTCCTAGGATCGGAAATATGTTCCCATAATGAAACCCAAAATTTGAAGAAGTTTTTAGTATCTTAAAAGAATAATATTTTCTACTTGAATTCCACTGTCCAGATTTCAGAAAGAAGTTAAGAAAAAATGAAAATATTTCAGATAAGAACTACAGAGACAAAACGGTTTGAAAACCTACTTTAGCATGAGACTGTCTCATCACTTTAAAATCCCTTTATGGAAGTGTTTCTTACGAGTTTGGGTTTTTTTCACCTTTCCAGATGACTCTAAATAACAAATACTGGATAATAAGACTACACATATATGAGTGTGAAACTGATTGAACAATTTTATCATTAGAATAACTTCTCAGATTATTACTTTGATTCTTTAGTTTTCAGAACTGGCTGTACAGCTGTAGTTCATGCTGTGGTGCTACAAATATGAATGGATGAAATTTGATGACAGTAAATTGTAGGTGAGATTATATTAAAGTATTTCCTTTTGCCTTGAAATGCTCTACTCTAATCTACTTGCCAGCAGTATTTCTGCTGTGCTTCAGTTTTCTGTTATGGCATGGAGGGAAATAGTAGTGCACCAGAATAAACAGCTTGAACTGCTGTGGCCTTCAGGTGCACGCTGCACACACTTAAACCCTCACACAGGTAATTTTAATGATGCAGAGATCTTACTGGAAGGGCTCACATGTCCCATAACAGGTTTGCGTCGAAGATGTAACTTGCAAATTGTCTCTGTCCCAGTGAAACATTAACTGTGAAGCAAGCGTGGTCTAATTCAGCCGTAGAGGGATCTCTAAGTGACATCTGTACTTGCAGCAAAACAAATTCTGTTCAGAACCGAGTTTAGCCATGGTTTCTGAACGTGCTAAATGCTGAGGTAGACCATGAGTGTTTGGACAGTTGCACTTGCTGTCACACCAGGTGGTTGTTTTTCTCTCTGAGCCTCCTAATCTAACCATGATTCTGACTATTGCAGTCTAACCAGCATAATGGTTATTTTTGCCGTGTAATTCTACACTATGTATGTGACTGAGTAAAGGTTTTGAATTTATCAGTTGATTTCTGAAGTGAGCCTTCAGGTGTTCCATTGAACTTCTAAGTCTATTTAGACTTAAGATTTCTTCCTTTTATTTAGTAGTCACTGAGAGCCAGCTGAAGGAAATGTGGCAGAATCTTACAGCATTCATGACCAAACATAGCAGGCTACTCTTTTCCAAACAGAAAGCTTTTCCATGATAGAAAACTAGTTTTCAATGTCATGTCTTAGTGTATTCAGACTGAAAGATGTGCTTATAGCTTCAAGTGGCAGCATGACTTTTGTAAAGGTGTTGAGCATAAGTAGAGATATGAACACATGTCACTGTGTAGATACACACAGGCATAGCGTGGCAGTTAATTAGCACCCTGAAACATCGGTATATGGTCATGCAGGATTAGTTGCGTTGGAAATTAGGAGTTAGATTCAGTTTAAATATTGGAGTCTAGTTGCCGTTTCAAATGATCTGGCTATCCCAGAAAGGCATGAGCTTTTTCTAGGTGCTGTGTCATATCTGCCAGCATAGGGCAGATACCTCAAATACTCGAAGGCATTTTCAAATGGCACTTAATGCCTGTGTTTAGGACTGAGTGTTCTGTGCTCCCTTTTGTACCAATAATAACTTGACTGAAATTAATTTCATTAGCCAAGGGTCCCACAGAAAAACACTTTCACAAAAAAACCCAAATAAACAACCAAACAAAAAACTCAAACAAATCAAAAAAGGTATGATATCAGGGAAGAAAATAGTTTGGTTTATTACTGATCTGTATTTGTGTATGAGGCAAAATTCCTTCAGAAATATCCCTTCCTTGGCAAGCCTGTATAGGCCTGTGATTTCTATAAATTCATAGATACTGTTTAGACATTGCAAGTCATCTTCTGACCTCTTTGAGAAGTAAGGTCTTGCCATTTTCTCCGTGGATTGCTGAGGCACAGAAATATTAGTAGCTTGTTTATCCAAAGTTGCACAGATTAAGATGCAGGGAGAAGAAAATGAACAGAGCAGGAGGAAGGTGCAGTGTAATTGAATTGAATATTCTTGAACCTCAAGGAATAGTAACTTAAACATTTCTGTCTCAGTCACGTGTCAGCAAATCCATTAAAAAATTGGAACAGAAAGCATTCTACTGATATTTTTATTTCAATTTTCTTATTATGCTTTTTGTGGTAGGTACTGGTGATAGAACAGAAGAATGAGGATGGAACATGGCCAAGAGGTCCTTCAACTCCTAAGTAAGTTGTGAATTTAACTCGTATTATTCACTATGACGTAACTATTGTCAAGTTATCGTGCTTTTTTAAAAAACTCATGGTTTTACAAGTGATACTTTGTTTTGAAAATTGTCCTTCAGATGTTTTAGCTGAAAATATGCTTAATAGTGTACTTGCTGTACGAGTTGCACAGATAGAACATGACATAATAATGAATTCCTGCATACATGTTGCTTTTGTTGATTTCAGCCAGTGATATACATTATACTGCTTAAAAATAGAAAAAAAATCCATAGTAGAAAACAGTAAATTCTGTCTAGATTTGTTTCAAGGCATAGCGTACCACTTCATGAACTCAGATACATGTATTTTATCAGTTTTTCTTATATGTAATTGTTTTAATGGATAGCTTGCCCTTTTATCTGCAGAGCACAATATTTACACATAAACATTATTTAAATTGCAGTCTACATTGCCACCAGCATGCTGCTTTTGTTCTTGTTGGGCTGTTATCAATTAACAGAGTACGATGTTCTTTTTCTTTTCTGTTCTTCGGGCTGCCATTATCAACAGCACCTTGATAGTGGCAAGTGAGTAGAAAGACTTCAGTGTGTTTTTTCTCATTTAGATGGGTAAACCTTTTTTTAATACTGTTTTCAGAATCCGAGTCTTGTTCTGTTGGTTTTGAAGAACAATTGGAATTAGTTACTAGTAAACTAACATGATCTCAGCCTTACAAATATTAACTGTGTTTCTTCCCTTTGCTGGCTGGTTTTTAAACATATCTTTCATAAAACATTCTTTTAAGTTCCTTTTATTCTTTCTGATATTCTGCGTTCACGAGGTTCACTGTTGTTTTACAACATCTTTGTAATATCGTTGCTTAGCATTTGAAGGAGAGAAATACTTTATCTTTGGTGTTTTATTTCAAGCACTTCTTGAAGGATCACTATCTTCTATTAAGTTGCTTAATGAAGTCTGAGTTCAATTTAAGCTTACTATGAGCAGTATAATTTTGCTTAGCAAGTTGTTGTGACACAAAGAATGGAGAATATAGTGCAGTAATGGGAGATGCAAACTACATGAGGTTCAATCTCTAACCTCAAAAAGCATCTAGCAGAAATGTAAATTCCAAGTCAAATTTTAGATGCAGATTTTGAAGGTTAAAATAGTTTAGATAACTCAGTGTCACGGATTCTTTTGGGAGTTTTGGTAGGAATGTAGTTTGGTGACAGTACTTGCTTTTATTCTGCCCAATTTCAATTCCACTTTATGGAAAGCATTCAAGAGCAGTGTATAAATTAAATAATGTCTCCTGGAAAATGTTTGATCAGGGGACAAGTGAAATGGTAATTGAGAACACCCGTATATGCGAAGGCTATAAGTAAACCTGCAAATGAGGATGAACAGTTTTACTGTGAGGCCGAGGAATGTTTTTGAGGTTTGGTAGCTGTCGGAAAGATTGATTGAAATTTGGTATTCAGATACATTGTAGTAGTGGAAAGTTTGCGAAATTTAGTGGATGCAAATAGAAACTATGAACAAACAGTAAACTTTGTGAAAAATCTAATAGATGTTAAAAGACATAGAAATATTAAACACTTGCTTTTGAAACTTCTGGGCGAGGTGCATTATAGCTTGTCATCACAAACAGTCTATGCCCAGATGCCTTCCTAGAGTCCTATCATTGGTCATGCGCTGGTTCCTGCTGTCACACGCTGGTTCCTCTTTGTTGTGCTTATTTTAGAAGAGTACAAATCATAAGCCTAACTTCTGAGGCTAGGGAATAAAGTACCATATTTAGAAAGCTCAAAATACAGAGTATTGCAAAGTATGAAAGATTTATGATTGAATAGGGTAGCATCATTTTAGAACATCAGCTAAGCTTTTCACAGAATCAGAGAATAGCTGAGGTTGGAAGGCACCTCCGGACTTTGTTGGTCCAACACACCTGTTCAAAGAAGAGTCACCTAGAGAAGGTTACTTGGAACTGTGTCCAGTTAGGATTTGAGCATCTCCAAGGATGGAGACTCCCACAGCCTCCATGGAAAACCTGTTTCACTATTTGACAGTCCTCCCTGTAAAACAGAAATTCTTATGTTTGAATGGAATTGCCAGTGCTTCAGTTACAGAATCGCAGAATTACTGAGGCTGGAAAAGACCTCTGAGATCATCAAGTCCAGTTTGTGCCTGTTGCCTCCTGTCCTTCGAGTGGACACTACTTGAAAAGAGTTTGGCTCAGTTTTACTTATTCTCCCCCCACTAGCTACTTCTGCACATTGATAAAAATTCTCTGGGGCCTTCTCCAGGCTGAACAGCCCCAGCTTTCTCCACATAGGTCAGACGCTGCAATCCTTTAATCACATCTGTGGCCTCTCACTGGACTTGCTCCAGTATATCCCTGTCTCTCAAGTACTGGGAAGCCCAGAAGTGAACCCAGTGCTCCAGAGTGCCTCACCAGTGCTGAGTGGAGGGGAAGGATTGACCCTGACCTGCTGCCAATGCTTTTCCCAGTGCAACCCACAAGGCTATTGGCCCAAGGACCCACTGCTGGTTCATGTTCAGCTTTTTGCCCTGCAGGACCCCAGGTGCTTCTCTGCCAAGCTGCTTTCCACCTGGACCCCATCCCACCACGCTCCAGCATGGACTGATGCCTGGGGTTATTCCTCCCCCAGTGTAGGCCTTTGCGTTTCTTTTGATTGAACTTCCTAAGGTTCCTGTCTATCCATTTCTCCAGCCCTCTGAGGTCCCTCTGAATGGCAGCACAACTTAGATTGTGACCTTTGAAATTGAGAAATAGTACAGTGTTCTGCACATCTTCCTTGCCTCTTGTTAGCAGAAGCATAAGAGCAATCTTTGTTTTGATTGCTTCTTTTGGCAGTTTTTCCTTGGTCCTACTACAGGTGATGACCATTGGCAACTTTTTATGAGAAACATGTTAGAGGTGTGAGCAATGTTTTCTCCTGAAACAAAGGAACATATTTATTTTGAAAGTGACCAGGTTGGGACCCTAGCTCAGTATATAGGAACACTTTACAAATTATAATTCTGTTTCTCTTAAAAGTATAATTAATTGGCATAACTGAAAAGATTGATTAACATAATTTTTTTCTGAAGAAGCTAGGAAATAAATTATTTCAAGTTTGAGATCCTTTTTACATAGGAGCAGAAACCCTGCTGTGCAACTTAAAATTTCAGCTCTATGTCCAAGCTTCTCAGTGTTTCAATTTCTTTTGTACTTTCTGTTCTTCTAACTTCTGAATTTATTTAATCTTGGAAGTTTAATGATATCTGTTATTGTCTCGTATTTTAGTGCTGTGTGAAGTGTTTTTGAGTTGTTGTTTCTTTTTTTTCCTAGAAATATCTGTACATTCTTAAAGTGTGTACAGGGTCAGTCAGGCTTAGGAATAGGTGGGTTTTTAGCTCTCCCAGAGGTTCTATCAGGAACTAGGATGTTTATTCCTCAGGAAGCTTGGCTTCTGTAAAACTTTCTAGGGAGCTCATGGTGACTTCTGGACTGTCTTTACTGTCAGCTGCTCACAAAATAGATCTTACTTATTATGATGATGATGATGATGATGATGGACAGTTCTGCAGAAAACTTTGTTACACTAACTTTTTCTGTGAGTAATTTTCTCCTCAATGTCATACATGTGACAAACTCATCCAAACACGGAGGTCCCAGTTGCTTTGGTAGCTTAGTTGCTGCTGATCTCAGTTCTTGAATGAAGACTTGGGATCTATGTGCAGACTAATTTTTTTTTTTTTCTTCATATATCTATACTTCTGGATGACATTATTCCACAGGCAGAAAAACAACTAACCAATCTGATTTGAATAGTTTATTTTCATAGAATTGTTTAGGTTGGAAAAGACCTTTAAGATCATCAAGTCAAACCATTAACTTGGTGATGCCAAATCCACCACTAAACCACGTCCCAAAGCACCTCATCGATGCATCTTTTAAATACCTCCAGGGATGGTGACTCCACCACTTCCCTGGGCAGCCTATTCCAGGACTTGACAACCCTTTTGGGGAAGAAATTTTTCTTAATGTCTAATCTAAACCTCCCCTGGTGCAACTTGGAGCCATTTCTTCTTGTCCTATCACTTGTTACTTGTGAGAAGAGACCAACAACTACCTCGCTACAACCTCCTTTCAAGTAGTTGTAGAGAGTAATAAGGTCTCCCCTCAGCCTTCTTCAAGTGGATTGTCATCAAGAGGATGTTATAAACTAATATATAAAAATATCTGAGGTTGTAGTTCGAGTAACTTAAGCAGCTGTACTACAAAAGCAAATTACTTATGTTCAGGAAATACTTTACAACAGTTAAAACTTTTAATCCAACCTGTGATTATAAAATTTAAAACAAGAAGGAAGGAGCTTAAGTTCTGAAGTTCCATCAATTACTAAATGAATAGCCAGGACAAGGTTTCTCTTTGTTTTCTGTTAAGCTGTTACCTGTTTACATGCAAATACAAAAGCAAGTTAGAGAAACATACAAAGAAGCTGTTTAACAGGAAATTATTTCCTTCTAATTTTAGAGAAGTATTTTCTAATGTTTTCTTAGAAAGACTGATGAACAAGTATTGAATCTAGTGTTCCATCATATTCTTCAGAAATGCTTCTTATGATACAAAACTAAGAAATTTAAAATTAATCTATCGATATATATCTTTGTGAATAAGTTACTGATGTAATTCTGATTCAGTTTTTTTAGACTTCACTGTGGACAAAATCATTCTAATCAAATAGCTGGCTACTTTGCGTCATTTACAGATTGTCTCCTGCTAACTTTAACAGTTTTTGCCTGCAAATTTTCTTTTACCATACAAAAATTTGATATTTTTGTACACATTCCTAGTTTTTTCTTCTTGTAGTAATGAATATTTTCTTACAGTATTTGTCCTATGGCAAGTTTTTATCATAATATTTTTTTTCCTAGTTCAAAACTGTATTCCTTTTTATCTTGAAAAAACACTAAAGTCTCTTACTTGATTCTTTTTTTTATTTCTGAGTTGGGTCCCATAATGTTTTTAAGAGAAAAAAAATATAAAAGATGCTTAGCTGTCCTTTTTGAAATAATTTTAATGCTTGTGTATCCAAATTTTTTTAGGAAAAAATATCATGAGTCTTCAGAAGAAAAAGTGTTTGTCTACTGAAATGAAAAGTACTATTTTTAACCTAGAGTTTCAAAATCTATGGGTTTTTTCATGTGCAGACAGGTGTGCCTTTCTACTGACTTTGCTGTAGGAAAGATAATTATAGAGCTAACAGGAGACTTAGTCTTAAATTGTAAAAGCAAGAGCTGTCAGAGCTTGTCTGCCAGCCAGGAGCAGGACTGCAGTTTGCTGATGCATAATAACTTGTGGGACTGTGGTAACCATGTGTCTGAGCCCCTGTGGGTAAACATCAAACACTGGTAATGTACCACAGATGTTTTTAAGTTAGTTTAACAAACATGTTCATTAATATCGGTTAATGCAGGGTTGAGAAACTCTTAACAAGTGCATGACCCGAACATTAATTTTATTTTCTTTTGATTGCTGAATGTTAAAGTATCAGCCTTTCATGGGCACTCCCCGAAGAAGTATGATTAACTGCATTAGTTGTTTTTTCTGATAAGAGAATGGTCTCAACTGGAGTAGACTAAACATAGTAAAGCTTGCTTTAAACTGATAAGCTGTATGGTAGCCTGATTACAACCACACTCCTTGAGGGTGGAAGGGCCTCTCAGGATCATCCAGTCCCCTGGTCAAGGCAGGGGCAGCTGGGGCAGGTTGCCCACAACCGTGTCCAGTCACACTGACTGTCTCCAGGGATGGAGACTGCACAGCCACTTCTGTCAACCTGTTCTAGTTTTTCACCACCCTCACTGTAAAAAAAATGACAGTGTTTTTTTTGGTTGGTTTTTTGGGGTTTTTTTTGTAAACATCACCTTTTGTTCAGATGGAATTTTGTTTACTTCTGTTTATAGCCACAGTCTTTGGCCTTTTAGTGGGCACCACTGAGAAAGGTCTTGCTCCATCTTTGTCATTCCTTCCCTCTGGGTATTTGTAGGATCGCTCTGGAGCCTTCACTTTTCCAGGCTGAACAGCGCCAGCTCTCAGCCTCTCCACGTAGGTCAGAAACTGCAATCCCTTGATCACCTCTGTGACCTCTCACTGCATTTGCTCCAGTATATCCCTGTCTCTTGAGTACTGGGGAGCCCAGAAGTGAACATAGCATTACAGGGGTGTCTCACCAGTGCTGAGTGGGGGGGAAGGATCGCCACTTCTCAGCCTGCTGGCAATACTCTCTTCAGTGCAGCTCAGGAAGCTGTTGGCTGCCTTCCCTACAAGGACCCACTGCTGGCTCATGTTCAGCTTTTTGCCCTGCAGGACCCCAGGTGCTTCTCTGCCAAGCTGCTTTCCACCTGGACCTTGTCTCCCCACACCCCAGCATGGACTGGTGCCTGGGGTTACTCCTTGCCAGGTGCAAGCCTTTGCATTTCCTTTGAACTTCCTGAGATTCCTGTCTGTCCTTTTCTCCAGCCCACTGAGGTCCCTCTGAATGGCAGCACACCCATCTGGTGTGTCAGTCCTTCCTCCCAAATTTTGTGTCATCTCTAATCTTGCTGAGGGTGCACTCTGTCCTGATGTTCTTATCACCCTCATAGAAAATAGGAAGAAGTTCTTTACTAATCTAAACCTATGCTGTTCTAATTTAAAACCATCGCCCTTCGTCCTATCACTGCACGCCCTTGGAAACAGTCTCTCCCCAGCTTTCCTGTAGCCCACTTCAGGTACTGGAGGGCCATTTTAAGGTCTCTCTGGAGCCTTCTCTTCTTCAGCCTGAACAACCCCAACTCTCTCAGCCTGTCCTCACAGGAGAGATGCTCCAGCCCCCTATCTCCTTTGTAACCCTCCTCTGGACCTGCTCCAAGAGGCAATGTCCTTCTTGTGTTGAGAGCTCCAGAGCTGAACACAGTACTCCAGGTGAGGTCTTACAAGGGCAGAGTAGAGGGGCAGAATCAACTTCCTTGACTTGTTGGCCATGTTTCTTTTGGTGCAGCCCAGGATATGGGTGGCTCTTTGGGCTGCCAGCACACATTGCAGACTCATATTGACCTTGTAATCAACCAGAACCTTCTCTAATCAACCAGTCCTTCTCTGCAGGGCTGCTCTTAGTCTGCTCGTTGCCCAGCCTGTGATTTCCCAGGTGCAGGTCCCTCAGGATGTCATCCCTGTAAAACCTCCGAAGTGTTGACCGCGCCGCACAGCTTGGTGTCTTCACCAAACTTGCTGAGGGTGCACTGTCCATGTTGCCAACAAAGATGTTAAATAGCACTGGTCTCAGTACTGATCCTTCAGGAACACTGCTCGTCACAGGTCTCCAGCTGGACGTTAAGCCATTCACCACAATTCTTTGAGAGTGACCATCTAGCCATCATCCCCTGAGTATAGCCCATCCACTGAATCTGTATTTTTCCAATTTAGAGACCAGGATGTCGTGTGGGACAATGTCAAACACTTTGCACAAGTCCAGGAAGATGATGTCAATTGCTAGTAGGAGTCGCTTATGATTTTATCTGTTATTGTCACTTTGCTTTTATAGCAAATGTGATCAAGGAGTAAAACCAGTGATTGTCACCTTTAAGAAACAGAATAACTTATAATTATGTTCTGGTGGAAACCAGACCTTTATTTATCTATCTTTCTGGTTTTGGAGTGGGGGATTTTTGATAATAATTAGACATTGAGGTTTTAAATGTGAAACTGTATTGCATTTGAACTTGGTCTAAATTATATAAAAGCTTCAGATTTGTTTTGAAAAGTTAAATTTCAGTTAAAAGTGACTCAATTCAAATAGCTTCTTAAATAATTACATGTATGAATGTGCATAGTGTAACTTTTGTCTTGAATTTAAGTAGGGTTAAGCTGACTTGCATTTTTTTATCTTTCCTGTGGACACAGGATATGTACGTTATGGCTTTGAAGACAGTGTTCAAAAAAGGATTTAGAATGATAGAGGAGATCTCCAGGAAAGCTTCATGAATGTTGTTCAAAATACTTCAAATAACATTTTCTCACGTGATGCTATATCTTTTCTTTTGGAAAAGGTCGATTAATAAGAAGTTTAAAATAAATGTGAGAATATATGTGGGGAAAATTCCCTGTGTAAAAATATTTTACTCCTTGCAGAGTTTACTTCATGGAAGGTGCTTAGAAAAATCCTGAGCATGCAGAACTTTTCCCCTTAGTGTTGTGATACATATTTTAAAGCTTTCCAATGACAGCTGGAGCTTTTTGCAAACCAGTTGGTGTTGCACAGGGTCCACAAACCATGAAGTTGCATAAATTCCTTTAAGGATTCAGAGCATTTTCCATGGTTATCTTTAAGATATGTGCTCGAAAGGTAGGGAGGCTCTGCAGAGGGGTCTGGACAGGCTGGATCGATGGGCCAATGTCAGTTGTCTGAGGTTCACCAAGGCCAAGTGCCAAGTCCTGCACTTGGGTCACAACAATCCCAGGCGGGGCTACAGGCTTGGGGCAGAGTGGCTGGAGAGCTGCCAGGCAGGAAAGGACCTGGGGATGGTGGTCAACAGCTGCCTGAACATGAGCCAGCAATGTGCCCAGGGGGCCAAGAAGGCCAACGGCATCCTGGCCTGTGTCAGAAATCGTGTGTCCAACAGGGCCAGGGAAGTGATCGCCCCCCCTGTACTGGGCATTGGTGAGGTCAGATCTCAGATCCTATGTTCATTTTTGGCCCACTCACTACAAGAAAGATATTGAGGTGCGAGAGCTTGTCCAAAGAAGGGCAAAAAAGCTAGTGAAGGGTCTCAAGAACAAGTCTTACGAGGAGCAGCTGAGGGAACTGGAGTTGTTCAGTCTGGAGGAGACTGAGGGGAGACCTTACCGCTCTCTGCAACTACCAGAAAGGAGGTTGTAGCGAGGTGAGAGTTGGTCTCTTCTCCCAAGTAACAAGTGATAAGACAAGAGGAAATGGCCTAAAGTTGCACCAGGGAAGATTTAGATTGGATATTAGGAAAAAAAGTTTTTCCACAAGAGTAACAAAGTGTTGGAACAGGCTGCCCAGGGAAGCAGTGGAGTCGTGATCCCTGGAGATATTTAAAAAATGTGTAGATGTGGCGCTTTTAGATGTGGCTTAGTAGTCATGGTAGTGCTGGGTTGACAGTTGGACTTGATGGTACTAGAGTTGTTTTGAACCTTTATGATTCTATTGTATGACTCTAAGATTTGATCAGAAGAAATACACTGCAAGTTAGTTAATATATTGTATTTGTTAGTTTGGAGGGTCTTTGTGATGAAAATGATCAGTATTCTTACATTTTTTAATAGCCTTAAACAAATGAGGATGAGTGATAATGGTATTATTTTTCCAAAAATGTTTTTAAATGTTATTCGCTACTGTGCAAAATGTCCTGGAAATTTTTTAATAATATTAATAAGGCAATTTGAATTAAATTATTTCATGCTCTTCTTAAACTAACCTTCAAGTATGTACCGTAATCATTTGTATCTATTCTCAGCATCCATTTATGGTTAAATGGAAAATGTAAAAAATTTAGGTATTAGAAACTTTGTATTACAGGGATTAGAACATGAAAATCTCTATAGTCATACTATAAAGTGAAAACCTTTTTTTTTTTGCACAGTGGCCTGTGATTTTTTTTGTTTGTTTATTTCTTTGCTTTTTGGTTTTAATAGCTGTGCTTCTTTAACGTGATAAGAAATTTAAAGTTCCGTGAAGCATTTCAAGTTTTAAAGGGTGGATTCTGAGGGCTGCATGTCCTGGGTATTTTTAGCATTTTGCCCACTTTTAAATATTTCTTTTCCATACTTGTTTATATGCATTGTTCATTTGTTAGCTTTCTTTCATAGTTTTTAATATCTCAGCATTTTTATCTAATTTATCATTTTCATATTTTTAAAGGTCCCCAGGTGCATCCAATTTTTCAACTTTACCAAAGATCTCTCCATCTCTATCAAATAATTATAACAACATGAACAACAGAAAGTAAGCAATATACCTTAAAACATTATGTAATTTAATCGCCCCAGTGTGACACAAGCAAATTTTGTTGTTTTGTAACTCCTAGCTTAAGGATTTTGATTTGTTTTGTAGTATTTGGATCGTTAATTGTTACTGGTCAGTGTTCCCTAGCGTAGGTATTGTAAAGCGTGATATCAGGAAATGAAACCCAGTACAAGATGTTTGACTCTTAATCCTCAGTAGAATAGATGCTAAAAGGAATGTTGAGCGTTGTAAGAAAGTACAAAGACTTCGTTTAGAGTTTGTCGTGCTAAAAATATGTAGCTGTTGTTATCCTGCCTGAATTTAGGTGGACAGTAAAAAAACCTGATAAACTGTGCACATTTCTGGTGGTCAGGTTTCCCCTTGTTTCTGGATGCGAAGGTGTTGGCACAGCACGTGTGGTGTCACACGTTGACTCCAGACCACTACAGCTGAATCGTTTTAGCTGTAATGATTATCTTAGTGGTTATAGCCATCCATTAGTTATCAGCAGCTTCTGTGTGTTTATGCTAGGAGATTTGAGAGAGATTAGTCTGATAGGGGTGCTTGAATATTACAATGAGCAGAGGCTTAGTAAAGGAGACTTGTCGCTTTTAAGGGTTTTCTCCTTTATATTCAAAATCAGAAGTGTAATAAAGAATGTGATGAAACTCTAAAAGAAGAGCTTTCAGATTCCAGTGGCCAGCTTTGTGTGTAATCTTTTGTTTTGTTGTACACAACTGTAAAAAAAGTTGGTGAATAGAGAAAAACGTGGAATTATTTCACTAACAGATATTGGAGCATCTTTCAAATGCTTGAAACCAGAGAGCACTCCTCTTTAATGCAAGTTGGGGGCAACTGAAGAGGTTTATTCTTACAATTCATTCAAATTTAAAATATTTTTCCGTACATGCATTTTGTGATCAAACATGAAGATGTTAAATATTAAAAAGGTGACATAAATATTAAATATCTTATACAATATCTTCCAGTTAAATACTGCATTTATCAGAAGTGATTTTTCCTAAGGGGTGGTGAAGTGTCACTTGTACTTCTACCAATTGTGAGTAGCCCCAACTCTCACTGTTAAACAGTTGAAATCCATGTATTTAACTGCAGTCTCTTGTACTCTGTGTGAATGTGTAGTAAATAAGAAGTGTATTGTATCTATGATTGTGTGAAAAATTACTTGACCAGAGCTGAGCCTCCAGCTGAGAACTAATCTCTCCTTCCCCCATTGCTTATGCAAAAGAGAATTTTAAATGCCCAAGCAGTTACTTTTTCCTAAAGAGCCACCATTTTAAATCAAGCCAGCAAGGCTTTCTTCTTTTTTTACTTTTTACTTCCGATCTCTTTTTCTTTTTTTTTTTTTCTTTTTTTTTTTTAAATGTTTGCTTCTCCCTAGTGATGCTGTAGTTATTTTTAGGAAGCGCTTACAAAACCTGTTGCCAGCTCTTGCAACTTTTAAAGATAGTTTCTTCACTTGCTTTAGCTGATTTTTTATTTTTATTTCTTAGTTTATTTTGAATCCAAAGTGGGAGCTTTTAGAACTTAAGGTCATATTCTGGGGTGGTTTTTGTTTGTTTGGGGTTTTTTGTTTGAGGATTTTCAACAGAAATATGTGTTTAAAAGAAAGTGAAGTGAAATTCAGATTTGGTAAGGAATTGGTCTTTTGAAGTGCCTTAACTGTAACTTAAACGTTTGTAAATCGGATAGTAGGTCCATATTTTCTATAGTGTTTCGAAGCACTGGTCATTTTTCTTTTGCAACTTAAACACTGTCTGTCTGAATGTTATGCAAGGCAGATACTCACTGGAGACGTATATAGTTTTCCGTGCAATGCAATAATCCATTTATGATGTGTGTAAAATAAATATTTGAAAAATCACAGATTTAGAATTCTCTGCAGTGTATATAATACAGGAGAATCTTTAGCAGTGCTTCTGTCAATATGTGTTCAAGATGAACTTCGGTGATAGAGAAGGAGTATTCGTTATGTACTTTAAAGTACACAGTGTTGCATTAAATTTTTGGCTTCGAAAGGTAAATGGGCAGTTATATCTCCGTATTTAATGTATTACATCATTCTGGGTTAAGATGAGTTTCTTCCTGTGTTCTAGTCTTCTCACAAATACCTTCTTGTCTGAGAAAGCACTTATCTTTCGTTAATTAATGCTATCTTCTTTTCATTACTTTCTTAATTAACTACTTAATGTCAGCTTTGCCTGGAATTTATTTTCATGTTTCTGCTTTATTGTCTCTTACACTACACATTATCTTTAGTACAACAGCAAAAATTACACTTGTGTGGCTTTCCAGGATCCATTGGCACCTCAATATGCATATGAGATGCTGTGACTCTCAAAGAATCGCCAACATTTGTTCTGAAGTTAATTTTAGCTGACAAAGCTGATTTGTAAGGCACAAGAGGCAAAACAACAGGTTGTGTGTAGTAATAGTCATAAATGCTGGTCGTTGCAGCCCCGTTTTTGCAATTATTGTAGCTCAGCTATAGAGGACAAATGATGTTAAAGCTCTGAAAAGTGTCATGGGCATGGGGTACACATTTCTCTTGTACTTGTCTAACGCAGGAAGTGTTCTGAGTAATAGTAAGCCTCACATTGGCGAATATTTAATGATGTGTTGAGTTAGTCATACGTTAGATAATAGAAATAGCTTGTGCAAGTTTTATCAGGTCTTCGTTTCTGTAAATGTGAGTTTGGATCTGATGGAATGGAGGATTTCAAATAATTGATCATTGATGTTCTTTTGCCTTTACAGGTGATCTTGTTGAAAGAATAACATAGGAGGATTAGCATGATATGTGTTAGTGGATTCAGAAGAGCAGGGAGAGACACGCGTCATTTAGGTCTTACTGGAATTTCTGTTTATTGCTGTTAGGAAGCAATACATTTCATGTCACATATGTTGTTTTGTTAAATTATGTGGGGAGGGGAGTGAAAACAGTTGAACAGAGATTTTACTTGGGGAGTTAAGCGGGAAGTTGTTTTGTTTTCTTCATTTCTAACCTTTGTTTCAGGCTCCTAAAATGACTTGCTTCATCATCCAGTAGCGTCGGCTTGTCAGAAGACCGACAGCTGGCAGCTTTGTTCACATGCTTGGTATATTTGAATATGCTTATTTCAAGCAGTATAAATGTTAATTGCGTCACCTGCACAAACAGTTTCTTCATGTTGTGCTTGACACAGAGGCAAATTTATGAGGAAGATGATTATTATTTTTTTATACTTTAATTAGATGATAACGTTATCTTTTGCTCTCCAGACAACTATGGTGAACAATCACAATGACAGTAGTCTTTGTTTAGGGGCACGGGCCTCTTCTGCTGCTTCAGGCATCTCTAAAAATTGATGGAACCCAGTTGCGGGTTTGCTAAAGTGGCTGGTCACAAAGACACATTGGCAGTGTGTTAGAGAGGTTGAAATGTTACAGAGCTCAGTAATTGTTCGAAACTTTTAATTTTCTGGGCTCATTCTTGCAACTCAGATTCCTTTCACAGCACCTATTGTTGATATATGGCAATCCACTGTCAAACTGTGTCCTTTCCAAAGCTAGTGATGCTTTTTGAAACTTCTGTTTGAAACTTCTCTGTTCCAAAACCACGCTTCCAAAAACTCCCAACTACACAGTAAGTGTGTGGAGGGTTCATCGTCATCTGAAAGCTGCTTTGAGTTTTAAAGGCAGGATACAGTCAGTACATGCAAGTAATTTCAAATATGGCACATGCAACTCAAAATTTATACATTTAGAGATAATAAAATCGTATTTGAAAACCTCCCTTTGCCTTTTTCACTACTTCAAGAACTCTACCTAGCTGTTGAAGGGTCTGAAGATGGTTTCATTTTTAAAAATCTTGCCTTATATTTTGAGCAGCAATTTCTAAGAGCCATCAGTGTGTTCTCTCTATTGTTACCCTATCCCATTCTAATATTACTCCTCTGCTTTTCCTTGCATTGTTCCTTCATTAAAGGTGTATTTCTAAAGGTTTTGTAGGAAACAAAATGGAGGTTAGAGACACACTATTACAAGTTACTTTTTCTAGAGCATTTATATGTAGACTTGCCTTGCATCTTTACTTTCTTTCCTTTGTTAGGCATTTACTACTGGCTGTTAATAATACTTTACTTTTTGTCCAGTTTCAAAAGCATGAAAAACACAGGCACAATGCAATTTAAATTCTTCCAGGAAAAAATGAGTTTGCAGACTGATAAAGCTGCAAAGAAGCATCTCTTAGTCTCATGCACGTAGCAGGCACTGTTTTTTGCTGGATATATTTTGATAAAATATCCCAGAACCCACAAAGAAAAATGTATCGATAGACCTGACTCACAGAGTGACTGGGGTGCCCTATTCTTTAAACTCCTCAAATGTATTTCTGTGGGCCAGCATAGAAGATGAAAGACCTCAGAAATGTCTTTCACTTTTGAGAAGTAAACGGAGAGTTTGTTCCTTAGAGCAAATCAACACTGGAGATCTATCTGCGTTACGATTGCCTTCAATTAAATTAGGATGTTGCTCAGTTAATGTGAGGAAATCTTTCTTCTGTAGCCAAAAAACGCTGGTCACGTTTCCTCGCTTTCCAGCGTCCCTCTTAAGGTGGCAGTTCAGGAAGGAGGAAAAGCTGCAGAGAAGGAAAAAGAAGGGCAATGGAAATCCCCAGGAGAATGTCATTCAATCTCTTTATTTCCCCTGCATCTCCTAAATCTCCAAAAGAGATTTCTCTTCTCTTAACTGTGTGAGAAGTGTAATCTTTGAGTCAGATGAGGAAAGGAGTACGAAGCAAGCAGGGCTCAGAGTAGAACCGTCTCATGTACCCTGTACGTGTGCATTTCTGTCGCTGCTGTGCACTGTCGAGCTGGGTCGGGGGGTTGGTTACACTGTGGAGGTAGCGTTAGCACCGATGGCCAGCTTGTACTTTTTCTTCCTGGGGTTGCTAAGGCCTGCCAATTTAAGTGATTTGGGCTTTTGTGCTGGACTGCAGCTGCAAAAGCAGATGGAAAGTCACTTTCCCTGGGTTTCTCTCATACGTGGGTGAACCAGGGACTGATGATAGGGAAGGGTTGACCTCGGAAGCAAGCTCAAAGGGGCTGTGGGCCCAGGAGTTCAAAAAGTATCTTGTGTAAAGGAGGGTTAAGTATTTAAGTTAGGATTAACCTCAACAGGCAAACCCAAATTTGCAGGGATTTTTAGTGGAGAATGACCAGCAAACACAATGCCATTTAGCTAGCCTGGGAGCAAGCCAGAGAGCCGAGAAAATGCAGAGAAGGACCAATAGGAAAGATGACAATTAAAGAGAATTCATCAGATGTAAAAATTTGAGAACAGTTCCTTATGGACAGTAGAGCTATAAACTACACAGATTTCTGAGGCCATTGAGAGAGGGAGAAATTTTCTTCCCCTTCTGTTTAAAAATCTCAATAACTCTTGTGATTAAAACAAAACAACTGTTATTCATGGAATGGAGTGTGCACTGAGGGAGGGAACAGTTGGAATTCAGTTGGATACAAAGGAATAATAGCTGGAATGTATTGTTGGGCACTTGCATCTTCAGATTTTTGCAGTTATAAATCTCAATTATTTATCAGAATTTATTTTTTGCTCTGCCTATTTTTCTTTGTCATTCTTAGCGATTGACTTTGAATTTTTATGTTCGAGTTCCTTCTAATGTGAATAGTGCTTAGTGACTGCAGAAGTGCTCTTGAACTTTAGCCAAAACTGCTATCATGCAGGTTTCGTTATGATCAGTGCCTGAAATAGTTTAAGAGGAGTTTAACCCTTTTGGTTGATTTTTTTTTTCCTAAGATCTGTAATATTGCAGAGCATCTTCTTAGCAGATTCTTTAGCTTTCTAGCGTTCTCGGATATGCTTACTTTACTGTTTTGAGAGTTATTCTATATTTAGCCTTTGGATGATTTCACCTGGAAACAAATTGCTTTAAATCTTACCCTTTTACCTGTTTCAGTCTTCTCCGGTTTCTCCAAACAGATGCATCAGAGAGATTTATAAGGAAGTTGTTGCAAGGCGTTTTGCGCATTCTTTTACCTCTCCAGGCTTTCCTGCATTTGCATGCTGGATTGTGCTGTCCTAGCAGGGAGGCTATAAATAGACTCTCTGATGCAGTGAGGCAGCTATGCCACAGTGGCCTTGGAAATCTCAGCTTTCACCTGTAACTCTGCGTTCCCATTGCCACCGACCTCACTCTTGCAGTAGCAGGATGCAAAAGGGACGTAAATGATTAATTGCTGCTGGTGGTGTCTTAAGTCTGAGTGTATTAAATTTGATGGACCAATGAAGAATAGAGTAAGCTGTGAAGCTGCTCCTGTCCAAAAGGGGTAGGGTTATAATAATAACAGTTATTGCAGTACATTAGATATTGGTTGTTTGCACAGATAATTTTTAAATTGAAATTAATGTTGTTACCAAAATCAAATACTTCTTAAAAATCCTTTCTTGTTCACAGAAGTTACTTTAGCATTTTTAATCATTTAAGCTTATAAAGTACTTGTATGTATTAAAATACTGTAAAATACATGTTTACATTGTGAAAGATGTTTTGTTGTTTTACAGTGTGAAAAATTCGAACTATTGTCTCCCATCATATACCGCTTATAAGAATTATGATTATTCAGAGCCAGGAAGACACAATGAGCAGCCAGGCCTGTGTGGCCTGAGTAACTTGGGGAATACGTGTTTCATGAATTCAGCAATTCAGGTACGTACTTTAGAATACAATAAGCTTGTCTTATTACGTTTGAACTAATACATTTTTATATTTTGTCGTGTTTGGAAACTAATACTGAGTGACTCCATTAAGTAGCTGGATAGGATTAAATGTGAGGAAACGATACATCTGTACTGGCATACTAGAACAGTTGTTTTACATAGCTGCGTTGTTTGTTTCCCCTGGTTTTGTACAGTGATCAATTTCAGAAAGAGATTTGACCAGCATACTACATGACTGAAACCTTCAGGGTTTTTAAATAATTGCCATGCATGCATGTCACAAAAAATACTTTTTTGGGTTTGAGATGCGCTTGAGCACAGGCGATAGTGCTGAAGTGTCGAAAAGTAGATGACTGGTGGATTACCAGGCCTTTATTTCTAACTGTCATGTACTTTTAGTGCGTAGGTTAACGTGCGGAGAACCTTTGAACATATTTCCTTTTGACCTTTCCCCTTTGAATAGCAGCTTTTCATCGATGAGATGTTTTGTGGAAATTTCTTATTTCTGTACAAGAGAAATACTAGGATACCTAGTATTACCAAGACAAAAAAACCTTGGGCCTTTTACTTTTCAGTGGAAGCTGCAGTTGTAGTATTTGGTTTTGTTTAGTTCTGGAATGTATTCTGTCATCAAAGCAGTCTTACATCAGAAATCTGTAAACTGTATTTATGTTCTCATTCACATTTTTTTCCCACTAGGTATAAAGATACTAGATCTTAACCAAGCATACTTCAGAGTTAATTTTCTCTTTCGTCATCACAAAGATTCCCAACTTACGTTCATTATTTACTTGGGTGAAATAATAAAAAAATAAATGTTGAATTCCTTGTTTAGCCTGTGCAGGAGAAAAGTAGTTTCAGATGCATTTGTAAGCTAAATTTATAACGTTGTTGAAATTTCTTCCAAAGAAGAAATATTCCAGAATTTCATAGTGAGTCTGTGTGGATTTTCCCTTCCTTCTTTGTACATAGCATCAGAGAATAATTTGGGTTAGAACGGGCCCTGGAATGATCATGGATCCTGCCTCCTGTTTGTGTCCCTTACCCCAGTCCTGCCAGTAGGCGCTTCTGAGAAGTTTCTGGCTCAGCTTCTCCGCAGCCTCCCAGGAGGTCGCTGCAGACAGCCACGAGCTCTCCTCTTACGCTTGTCTTCTTCAAGCTGAACAAATGTGTACAGCTCTCAGCCTTTCCTTGTGTGTTATTCTCCAGCCCCCCCGACCATGACTGGTGGCCCTACTCCCCTCTTTCTGACACTGGGGAGCCCTAAAGAGAAGAGCCTCCGGCAGCAGTCTCACCGGCGCCAGAGAAGGGAAGATTTGCTTCCCTTTGCCTCTGGCTACCAGCCAGCTTGCAGCTGGCCACCTTTCTCACAGGGAAGCACCGCTGGCTCTTCCGCATTTCCACAGAAAAGCTACTTTCTAGCCAGTCAGCCCCTAGCCTGTAGGGGTATGTGGGGTTATTCCATGGTTACTCCATACTTATTTATATAAGGCATCCGTAAAATTCAGTTTATTCTTGTTTCTAAAAATGTGTCCATGAGGATACTTGAAGAGGAGCACTGCAGGAAATAATTCAGATTTTCTTTTAGCAGGCTGCATGAAAGGCAGCTAAACTGGAAGAGGGAGGGACACACATTTGGCAGCATCCATTCTAAATAAAATTGCTATATGTAACCTCTCTTGATTACTGGATTGCATCATTATGCTGCAATAACGGCGGGAAATAAAAGAGAATGTATTTTTTTGTCTAGTGTGTGAACCAGAATTGTCTTTTATAAGTTGAATTAAGACGATATTCTTAGCACATAGCAAAATATTTTTTTTTAATGATACTATGCTGTTTGTCAGGCTAGACTGATTAAAAACGGATGATTTTGATTACTTATTCCAACCTTTGTAAAACCAGTATATATGAATTTGCATGTATGCAGATTTAAAAATAACCTTTTAGCTGAGAATTAGAAGCATAGGTTATTGCCTTTAGGAATCTTAGACAGTGTAAACTATGGTTTGCATCAGTAACCCATTATGTTAACTGGGTTTAATTCTGAGGTCTTCATTCTAAATCACGTCATGTTGACTTCATTGCTTTTCAGTTATATCTTGGGAGTCAAGCACTCAAGTAAGTTCTGAGAAACTGCAGTATAAATAAAGAGAATTTTGCTGATTCACAAGACAGTGCTCTGGGTAAGAAAATTAGGTGTTTGTTGAGCAATACAACTTTCAGTTTGGCATGGTACATTTAGTATGCCCTTGATGGTGTGTTTTCTCAAATGCATTATTTGGCAGCTTTCTTAGCAAGTAAGCGTAAAGTATCTTTCAGTTCCACCTACTGTATCTCTCAAAGAAAGTATCGTTCAGAGTTTAACGTTATCTAAGAAATCCATGAAAATGCTTTTTAGTGACGGTATCACAGTATGTTCTTAATACACCAAGGTCTCGCAGACTGTCTTCTTCCTTTTCCCACCACCTAACTCCTGCCTCTTTTGCAATTACACTGAAAGCACACATTTCACTGCACTAATTAATTTGCCATTAGTTTCACCTCCTATGAAGTAACATTGGATTATTCTGCCTGGAGGTGTAATGCACGTGGCTGAAGCACTCTGAACGCATTTGAACTTATCTAATCTTGGAAACAATGAAGGGATGGGCCCGGATAGTATGTGGAAGGCAGACTAGGGAATTCTGCTTGGGAATAATGGATGCTCTAACCTTTTGCCTGGGTGGTGGAGCAGAGTGCACCCTCAGCAAGATTAGAGATGACACAAAAGTGGGAGGAGGGACTGATACACCAGATGGTCGTGCTGCTGTTCAGAGGGACCTCAGTGGGCTGGAGAAATGGATAGACAGGAACCTTAGGAAGTTCAATCAAAAGAAATGCAAAGGCCTGCGCTGGGGGAGGAATAACCCCAGGCAAAAGTCCATGCTGGAGCGTGGTGGGATGGGGTCCAGGTGGAAAGCAGCTTGGCAGAGAAGCACCTGGGGTCCTGCAGGGCAAAAAGCTGAACATGAACCAGCAGTGGGTCCTTGGGCCAATAGCCATGTGGGTTGCACTGGGAAAAGCATTGGCAGCAGGTCAGGGGCAATCTTTGCCCTCCACTTAACATTGGCGAGACACTCCTGGAGACACTGCTGGGCTCCCCAGTACTCGAGAGACAGGGATACGCTGGAGCGAAAGGCCACAAAGATGATCAAGGGATTGCAGAGTCTGTTTCACAGTGAGGGTCATCAAGCAGTAGAATAGATTTTCCAGGGAGGCTGTGGAGCTTCCATCCTTGGAGACGCTCAAAATGTGACTGGACACAATGCCTCTCTTCTTTGAGCAGGAGATTGGACTAGACAATCTCCAGAGGTGCCTTCCAACCAAAACTTCTCTGTGATTCTCTGATGTGCTTGGGTTACCTACTCTAGGTTATTTACTTCCTTAAGATGTCTTCCTTCACAGTTATGTCATCAAAGAGTTGGATTTTTTTTGTATAAATCTGTTTTCTTTAAACAAAGTAGTTTACTGTAGAGTTTTAGACTCTGAAATAGTTTCCAGTTCCATTTATGTTCTATTCCAAAATCTCTGCTTTGATCCCTTCCATTCAGTCAGTGCTGAGTGTAATCAATGTAATTTCCTTCAATGGAAGCAGAGTTTAGTTTATCCACCCTCCTGTTGATTACCACGTTGCTCAAATCTTCATCCTTCCCACACAGCATAGAGACCCCTTAGTGTTCACTTAAGAGCCATTTCTGCTTCAGAAACCACTTCATTTCTCAGCTTCTCTCTGCTCCCATCTCATGTACAATGAAGATGATTTCACGATCAGAACTGTTATCAGTGTTCCTTAAAGAAGAAGGCCTGCTCCCTGCACGTCTTCCTCTCCAGATACCAGCAAAATCGTCTGAAGGTTTGTGCCCTGTAACTAGGTAAAAATGTGATAATCCCGGCAGTTCCTTAAGTTTTGCTTCAATCTGTCAATAAGGTTAGGCTTGCCCCTTCATCCTTCTAAGTGACTATTTTAGAGACCTTTGTTTTTCTGAGTAGGGGCCTTCAGTGTTAGGGCTTTTACCAAGTCAGAGCTTTTCAGAGCTCAAAACAGCTAGAGAGATGGTGAAAAGGTGGGTAAGATCCTCTGTGGTACCACAAACCACTGCAAGCTGAGAAGGAGTAAGGCCAAGAAGGTTAAAATTCTATTCTGTTTCTCCAAGTGCTATTGTCTTTGCACTGTTTCTTACTAAAAAAAAAAGCAATAATTCAATATTATTTAATATTTTAGTTGTAGTTGGGCTTTTGTATAGAATTTTCAGATTCTTTTGAAGGGGTGTTCAATATATATTGAAAAGGATACGTACTTTTAATTTACTTAAGTGCTAACACCAAAGGCATGATTTTTTTTCATTAAGACCTAGACGTCTCCTTTTGCAGATCTGAGCATTAAATAAAACGGGAAGGATAAAAGGGGTCTTGTGGACTTCATGAATATGAACACTTGAACTGACAACCAAGCAAAAAAATAGTGTTTGACAAGTAGATATTTTATTCACGCTTCTGTGCATGGCTACGTTCTGAACTGAAAAAAAAAATAAAAATATGGCTTTCCTGAAGCATTGCTGTGCTGCCACCTGTGGATGTTTCTGAAGTATTGCTTTGCCCTCTTGGTGGGATACTGGTGATTAGAGCTCTGTGGGAAACATTTTTTTTTTTCTTTTGCGGTGAAAACTTGAAAGTTCACATAGTTTTCATTTTGTGATTCAAAATTAGAAGAATGAAAGTAAATGCTTTAAATAAAAACGCTTCTTTTTTCTTTCACGTGTTCTTTTTTTTCTTTCATCAGTGTGATTATATGTGCTTGACTTATGAACAGCAGCTGTTGAGAGCTTTACAATGGGATATTTCAGCAGTTTTCTTTCTCCAGAAAGGCGGTTAACATTCCCTCTGCAGTTACTTGTGGCTTTGAATTTATCCAGACAAATCATAACATCTTTCACTAAAACTTGAAATTATTTCAATTTTTAGTGCTCTGTTTCAGTTGCTGTAGGCAGGTGGAATGTGGTGCTAAGGGATGTATTAGCTGAGTGATTTTTACCATGTCTCACACCAAGCGCTTCAGATTAAAGTAGGAGAGACAGATATGAAGTAATTTACTTTTTCTCCTATTACTCAGCTCTTTCTTTCAGTCAGTCAGTTCTTGGTCTCTTATTAGAAGGCTGAAATATGAAATTTCAATGTCCCTTGCATAAAATTGTTGTTAAGTAGGACAGCTGAAGAACCACGGCACTTAGAGGAACACTCAGTTTTTAGTTCAATTTCATGATCTTACTGTCTGCTTCTCATTTCACCAGCTCACTGGCATAATAAATAATGATATTTTCTTTGTTTTGAAATTTTATCATCATTTCTGTGAAATATCCTTTATGGGATGTGAATAAATGTTTCCTCATTACCTTGGGATCATAGGATAACTTGGGTTAGGAGGAACAGGAGGTTTCTAGCACAAAGGAAGATCGGCCCTGGGGTTGCACCAGGTTGCCCAGGACTTAATCCAGTTGGGTCTTGAAAAACTCCAGAAAGGCTACACAGCCTCTCAGCTCCACTGCTTGACTGGTCTTACATTAAAAACTTCTTTCCTTATATTCCTAACCTCTCATTTCAACTTAGGCCCATTATTTCTTGCCCTCCTGCTGTGCACTGCTGGGAAGAGCCGGATTCCATCATCTCCTTACCTTCCCTGCAGGTACTAGAAGGCTGCTCTTGGCAACTGTCTCTCCTGCAGGCTGAACAAGCCCAACATTGCTTCAGACTTTTCTCACAGGGCAAGTGCTCCCAGGCCACTGACTCTCTTGGTGGCCCTCCTTCCTTCATTTTGTTTTCTTTTCATCAGTTAAAGAATCAGAGTCCTCTTTTCATTGGAGTTTTTTCCCATACCTAAAATATGCAGATTTAGAGAAGTATGGCATGAGTATTTTTGTTATTATTTTTCAACCTATACTGAGATTTCATAGGACAGGTAGACTTACTAACAAGATCATAGCCTAGTATTGGAATTAAAGTATTTGAGTAAGGCTACAGCATTGCTATATACATACATTTATATACAGCACTAAAAGATTATTTATTATTCATTTTTCTGTGCATCTTAATGCCCCCCACACCCTTTACTCGTTACAGCTGTGCTCCCTAAGGAGTAGACTATCTGTCTGTGTCTTCACAGGAGATTTTGTCTCCTTTTTGACTCGGTAGTTGAGAATTCTTCCAGGATGTTTGTATGCACGTGTATGTACATGAACTGTGCATACGGTGTTGCATAATACAATTGGCACACAAATTGCGTGAGGCATCATGTTGTCCAGCCACACTGTTTGTCTACTTCCTTGAAGGCTGATTATGATCCCTTGATGCTGATTACATAAATGTTATCCACAGATTGCTCTACCACAGAATGTCCTTTTTTTTTTTTCCCCCCAAGTAATTAATATGTTACGTGGAACTATGATTTCAGTGTTTTTGTTGTACTAAAGACCAATCTTTCTCTTCTGTGGTTTGTCTCTTAGTAGATCTTAGAGTTTCTACATTCTGTCCTGTTTTTTCCCTTGACCATTCAGCAAAATGACCATTTTGGTTTCAGAGACTGAGCACTGTACAGAAGTTTTGTTCGTTAAAGAAAACATGGAGAGTACCTGAAATTAAGTTCTATTCTGTTACTTTTTCAGTTCACAAATGATTTTCTGTAGTTTTGCTGTATTTGTTTAGCTCTTTCGGTTTCAGTTATTCATCGTCTATCAGTATCTGTGTTAATTTATATATGTCTGTGTTTTAGAACAAATAAACAAAATCCCCAAAACTGCTATGATGAACAGGGCCCATAAATCTGATTGCTTTGCTGTCTAGGAGATTGTCTTGGTTCTAATGAGGGGGTTGTTTGTTTGGGGTTTTTCTTGAGCTTTTCATAAGACTTACTTGATAACCTACAAGATATTACATCATGAGAAAAAAAGAACATTGGCGTCATTTCAGATTGGCTCTGGATGCTTTTTTCCTAGTGACTTCTATCATGGTCTTAAATAGTTCTCCATTGCTTACTGTTTCAAGAAGTAAACATCCTTGCAGTTATTTAGCTTTCTCAGTTGCATTGAAAAGATCAGTGAGTATGTGGCCAACTGTATTAGATGTTTTCACAGCGACTCTTATAAAAGTTAGGGTACCTGATATTTTAGAAAGGATGTCAGTCAGCACTGTATCTCAGAAATTACTCTGTGTGTGAAGTTTCTTCATTAAATATTATAAGCTTTTCTGGATTCTTTGCTCTATTAAAGATTCCAAGAAAGATCAGGTATTGCATCAGTCTCACCTGCAAAAAATCTTGTTTTATTTAATGAAGAAACTTTGCTAAATCTGCGTGCTAGAGCATGGCATGGGGATCATTTTGGAGTGGTGGAAAAGTTTTTGTTCAAATGGGTGTGAGGAATAGCACACAGAAATTCAAAGTGGCTTCCTAAAATTGCAAATCATGCTTGAGTGATTACATTCTGCTATTTCTAAGAGCCGACAGAAGAGACAAACTGGTACAGAGGATAAGTCATTATCTCAATCTGAACCAAGGCTCTTGCTTTCCTTGAACTAATTTCAGCTCTAAACAAAATTCAAAAGACCATAGAGAGGGCTGCAGCAATTCTGATTCAAGTTCTGGTACGTCTAGTACAGATTGCTGGCTTCAACAGTATCCATAAGCAGATGCCTAGGAAGAGAAGGAGTGGGGCAAGCATCATTTCCTGTCCTTCCCTCCCACCCCTGCCAGAAAAAACATCTCCCTTTTCAACTATTTTCTGCCCACGTGTTGTTCTGAATGTGGCATGATTTGATCTAACAAGCCTTATTGGCTCTCCCTTCCAAGCACCTCTGCAATCTCTGCCTGAGGTCCTGTTAAATTTGTGCGACTGTAACAACTTTCAGCAAGGAGTTTCATAAAGCTACTGTTGGTGTATCAAGAATCATCTTTGTTTTGAACGTTGATAAAAATCGTGTTGTCACACTGTGATTGGCTGGACTACTCTTGTCTAATGAATTCTGATGTAAAGCTTTTGAAAAATACTCTCTGTGCATAACTTATAATGGTAACTGCAGCCAGCCTTGGTTTAATTTGTTTCTGGAAAAGATTTATTTATTTTTCCTCCTTGCAGGCACTAGACATTACAGTTTAAAGTACTGTTCATGGCTGCTTTAACAAAGTACAAACACTATTTGTTTAGAATTATTTTAAATTGCTGTTCTAAAAATTCCATATTTTTATTTACAGTGTCTGAGTAACACACCTCCTCTTACGGAATACTTCCTCAATGATAAATACCAAGAAGAGCTGAATTTTGACAATCCTTTAGGAATGCGAGGCGAAATAGCAAAATCGTATGCAGAGCTTATCAAGCAAATGTGGTCAGGAAAGTACAGCTATGTTACCCCAAGAGCGTTTAAGGTCAGTGGGAACTCAACCTTAATACACGATAGCAGTTTTGGTTTTGTAGTTTTAAGTATATGAAACGTGTGGAGATATGCAAGAATAAGAATTCAGAGTAATATTCATCAGCATGCAGTCCATTTATTTAACTGGTAAAACAATTGGATGTATATTTAAATAAACATCAGCTGTTCTTGTGCTTTGGTCTTTGAGAAAGACTTTTGGCTTTCTCTCTCCATTGAAAAGCTTATCTTTTGTAACTTGGCAAGTTTTACATTTTCAACTCTCTGCCATAGCATCTTGGAAGTCTATATTCTTAATAACGACTAAGGTACTAGAAATGCTTGTATTTGTTTTTTTTAGACACAAGTCGGACGATTTGCACCACAGTTTTCTGGGTATCAGCAACAAGACTGTCAAGAGCTACTGGCTTTTCTCTTGGATGGATTACATGAGGATTTGAATCGAATTAGGAAAAAGCCTTACATTCAGTTAAAGGATGCAGATGGGAGGCCAGACAAGGTAGTGATTTTGGTGCAAGACACTTCTACGTGATTGTGCACAGAAAGGTTGGGACACTGGTCACATGTTGCTTTTTTTAGAAGAGTTTTCGGAAAATAAGCCAAGACCTTAAAATGGAGACCCTGTTCAAGTACCAGTGTAGATTTCTGTTTATTTGGAAAATAATTGGGGGGTCAGGAGGTGTTGAGGCTTCGTTAAGACCTTTTTATTCAGTTCAAGGCTGAGTTTGGCTGGAAACATAATTTCCATTCTGTTCTTTTATTCTGATGTCTACAGTATGCAGCATTCTGTCACTCTCCAGTACTCTTACTTTAGGGAAACTCTCCCAGCATTGAGCTACAGGAGTAAGCATATAGATAGTTCATTTTACTACAAGTATGAGTTACTTGAGACGGAATTTCTAGTTTTATTTGCTTCTGTCTTGCCCCAAGCCACTTGAAATCTCTCTCAGACTATGTGTAATGCCCCTGACAGAATCTCTGTCCTAGGAAAAGCATATGTCTTTTAACCTGTGATCCTGATAAGGTCCTTTGGAGTGACATTTCTAAGTTTAGGTGGTAACGGAGAATGTTCTATCAAGTATTCCTACTAATAATTTTCACTATTCATTTCCTACTACTTTGTGATAACCAAGGTCATGTTTTAATTACAGGTGGTTGCTGAAGAAGCCTGGGAAAACCATTTAAAAAGAAATGATTCCATCATTGTAGATATATTTCATGGCCTTTTTAAATCCACCCTAGTTTGTCCTGAATGTGCTAAGATATCTGTAACCTTTGATCCTTTTTGTTACTTGACACTTCCATTACCCATGAAAAAAGAACGCACTTTGGAAGTTTATTTAGTTAGAATGGATCCACTTGCAAAGCCTATGCAGGTAAGCCTCTGAGTTTATGGACAAACCTCCTGATTCATGCGTTGCTAACAATAAACCTGACTTCCTCTACTTTTTTTAAATATGTAATTGCAATAAGCAAATCGCACAAGTTTTACTTTTTGGTACGTGTTCCAAAGTCCCACTTAGAAAGCCTGAGGAAGACTATACATACATTCCTATATTTCTGTCAGTTTAAGGAAGATGCTGGTAGTTTCTTCATGGTTATTTTAATAGGGCTTCTCCATCTTTAAAATGTATGCTGTCATCGTCTATTTTAGTGTTGTTATAATGAATTTGTATGTTTATAAAAAAATATTTATACACTTAATTCCTCAGTTTCTTAGCCTCAAAAGGGAATTAGTGGTAGTAAGTGGTGCAAAAACCCCAATGACTAAATATATTAGGTAGTCCTGACCTAATAGTCACATGAAAAAGAAAATCAGATTAAATTTATTTGTAAAGAGTATCTCTTTTGCTTTTCTTAGGAAGACTGGCACTAAACGCTTTAGAATGGCATGAAACGGTGTACATAGGTTACAGTAACAAAATTGTAATTAAATGGTTCTAGCTGTCCCTTGTGGGGTAAGCGAGGATAGATCAACTAAGTAAAACCCAGGCAGTTAGTCAGAAAGGCAAAAATGCTTTAACACCCGAAATCAGTGTGATACAATAAGGAAAGTGGAGGAAAAGGGAGTGTTCTCAAAGGTAATATGAGTTAGGGAAGTCAAAGGGACAGATATTAACTAGTGGGAGATGAGCCTGCTAGAAATTTAATGATTTGTGAGAACGATTTTGCACGAGGGACACGCAGTAGTTGAAGATGACCCTCTGTGACACGTGAGGTGGTTATGCAGGAATGAAGGGAGTCTGGGAAGAGTACGAGTTCAGTAGAGGTTTCATGATTCTCAATAACTCTAAGACTTAAGAAGATACCAAACACTTACTGCATTTGGCAATTAATTACAAAGTTCTAATACTTTATTTCTAATTAATCCTGTCTTTATTTATTATGCAAATAACACATAAGTGTCCTGTGTGAAGTTTCATTGCAAACTGCACTAAGGAAAGCCAGAGAGGTTTTTCTTTGACTGTTAATCATCAGGTTCTATCTCTGCACATGAAATTTGAATTCAGTCTTTATCCAATGCCTGCTATTGCTTTTTTTTTCTGTTAATACCTTATAAACAAATGCTTAAATTAGCAGGTGGTGTTGAAATACAAATCTAAGTAATGGTGCTGTGAAGTCTTCATATGTAGAAGGTAAAATAACATCAAAAAACCTGCATTGTTTAAACTAATAATTGTAGCATTCAAAGTGCGTGCGTATGAGTAAGGTTGTGAAGGTAAGTGCTACATTTTCAGCACCTTTTTGAATTTGTGGTAGTTGATTTACATATTTTACACCTTAAGCTCAAGAATCTGAAAGAAGTATGTGAAGTGTGCTGGACATGTGATAAGTCTTTTGGGTTGGGTGGGGGTTTTTATGGATAGTTGTTCTATTAAGAAATTAAAGTGACATTTTATTCTTTTTAGTACAAAGTAGTTGTTCCCAAAATTGGAAATATATTGGATCTTTGCACAGCATTGTCGGCTTTGTCTGGGGTTGCTGCAGATAAGGTAAGAGTGATTTCTCACACGAAGCACAGCAGTGAACATTTTAGCACATTAAACTGATTTAATTACGTATACTCCGTTTTTCTTTTTTAGATGATTGTTACTGATATATACAATCACAGGTTCCACAGGATATTTGGCATGGATGAAAATCTAAGTAGTATTATGGAGCGTGATGACATTTATGTGTAAGTACAGATAATGTGCTTCATGTCTCTTTGCAGTCTCTTTGTTTAGTTATTTGCAAAAGATTAAAACCCAAGCATAAGATAAAGACAAATCTTAGGGGGTTATTATTTTGTAATTTTTCCCCTTTATAGCCTTTCAAATGACCGTTGTCTTTTTGTATTTCTGATTGTGGTTTTTTTTAGATTTGAAATTGCTATTAATAGAACAGAAGATACAGAGCAAGTTATAATTCCTGTTTGCTTAAGGGAAAAGTGCAGGCACACTTGCTACAGCCATAGTGGTTCTTCACTCTTTGGTCAACCTTTTCTCATAGCAGTGCCTAGAAACAACACTGAAGATAAACTGTATAACCTGCTGCTGCTAAGAATGTGGTAAGGTTTTTGTTTAAAGAAAAATGCCTTTTTGATGAATAATGCTACTAGTTCGGAGTCAGTAGACACTTATCCTTACACGCGTTGCTAACAAACTGTTAGACTACTTAGTCTGGTATTTCCTTTCTGTTAACTGTGTTAAATCTAAAGGTTTAACCACATATGTGAACTAGTGTGGATTTTAATATGATTTTTTTGTTAGTATGACCTCATCCAAAAATTATTTGAGAACACAACAGGATCAATGCCTACTATCGATTTGGGGGAATTAATTTTGCTATATACATCGCTATTTGTTAGGGCTTGGTAAAATGGAAATGTTTTGCAAGTTACTCTGCTATGGTTATACCTCCTGTATCTACTATACAAGTTCATATACTGATTTATGTTTTAAAAGTGCGTGATGGACACTCTCTGAAACTAGACTTGAATAATAATGTGAAAGAAATTAGAATCATATAACCTCCAGTTCAAACTTCCACTTCATTTTCTGTTGATCTAACTTTCTCTGTAAGTGAGCCTATAGATACAGATTTTTTTGTATAAAAAGTATTGTCAACAAACAGATGAAGAAGTGATTTCTGGACAGAAGCTAATACCAAGAATCCAGTTATATAAAATCAAGGAACTGCCAAAGATGTAAGATGATAGATGAGAATTCCAGATATGTCTATAACAGGAAGCAAGTTGGGCAATTAAACTTCAATAAAAAGGGGTAAATCAGAAAAGAATGCAGGAATACAATAAGCTAGAAAGGATTTGCTGTAACTATTTGATTATCTGGCTTGAACAATGTAAATATTTGAAAATCCATTTGTTCTAACTGTTGTTTCTTTTTGTTGTATTTAGCCGATACGTAAAAACCTGTACTGAAACTGAAGACACGGAAGGATCCCTACACTGCTGTAAGGACCACGGCATCAATGGTAACGGCCCAAACGGAATTCACGAAGAAGGATCTCCAAGTAAGACTGGAATATCTAAACTTGTTTAGTACTTTGTGTTCAACTGAAGTTAATTCTGTAGTGTCTTTCAATTATGTTGATTCTTCCTTCTTTCTTCCTCCTTGTTATTCCGGTTGTTTCAGGTGAAATGGAAACAGATGAACAAGACGATGAATCCAGCCAGGATCAGGAACTGCCTTCAGAGAATGAGAACAGCCAGTCAGAAGATTCAGTTGGAGGAGACAACGACTCTGAAAATGGATTATGTACTGAGGATACTTGCAAAGGTCAACCACTCACGGGACACAAAAAGCGACTGTTTACATTCCAGTTCAATAATTTAGGCAATACTGACATAAACTACATCAAAGATGATACCCGGCATATTAGATTTGATGATAGGCAACCTAGGCTTGATGGTAAGTCGTGGGGAACAGGTTGGGCAACATTTGATTCTGATACTTTTTTCTGACTCCACTTCCATAGAATAGTGGTTCATTCTCTGTGTGTGATTTAATGCATTTTTTTTTTTTTATTCCAGGAGTAAATTCTGTATAAATAATCAATTTGTTATTGTAATTGACTCTTAGAGATGCAGAAATGGTGTGTGCTTCAATTTTTCATCTTGTTTAATTCATTTTGAAGATTGTTGGCCTGAAATTAATACCATTTAGTGTAAAACAAGAAATAATACTAAGACTAAATACGTTTTTAATCTTAGAAAGATCTTTCCTTGCTTTGGATTGGGATCCTGAATTGAAGAAGAGATATTTTGATGATAGTGCAGCGGAGGTAAGCTGTTTTTGTTGTTTCTTTTCCAGCACTAATCAAACTTAAATGTAAGAAATACCACTTAATTAAATGTGACGTAAGAGATTAAAAGTCTTCAAAAGAAGAAGCTAGTATTTTTTTTTTCACATTATTCGTGATTGTCATAAATAAACTTCATTTACACATCTGTAAAAATCTGAGGCTTACTAAATTAGAAGTAAATCTTAAGCGTTTTGCTTGAGTGGTTTCTGAACAGTTTTTCCGTATATAGGAGCTTTGTAGTTACTGTTTATAGTAAGACGACATCACTAAAATGAGTTTTATTTCATTTGTTCTCTTAACTCAAGAAATACTTCTCTTTAGGATTTTGAAAAGCATGAAAGTGTGGAATATAAGCCTCCCAAAAAGCCTTTTGTGAAATTAAAAGATTGCATTGAACTGTTCACAACAAAGGAAAAACTAGGTGCTGAAGACCCGTGGTAAGGACAAAAAGAGAAAATTGTCGTGTTGTATGGTGTGTTCCTCAAAATGTAATCAAAACCACACTTGAACAGAGATCTCTAATTGATTTCTTAATGGAATTTTGAACCTTCTTATTTCAAGCTTAGTTGAAAATTCTCAAAACGTTTTCTGGTTTGATCCACTGCTTAACTGGAATTGTTACCGTATACGGAAGGTTCAGAATTAAGAGGAAAGGTAGATCGGTAAGATACTCTACACTATGACGTGAATGAATAATGTTGTGTCAAATCCATCGCAGTGGTTTAAACAAATGCTCCTTTCTGAGACGAGAAAATTGATGCACACTGAAGCTTTTTTTAGGCAAATGTGTAACTTGCCTTGCACTGATACATGGAATACAGGTTGTCTGTAGTCAGTAGAACCTCTCAAATTCATGTTCCAACCCTTAAGTTTTTGGCAGAGACTTTTACTCTGATATATCGTTCTTCCAAATTGTGATTTGGAATCATATCTGAATATTCCCAATGATAGGATGTTCCCCTAAGATCTTTCTTCTCTAAGAATTTTCTAGCAGATAAGAATCTTCCATCAATGCCTGAAGCTTAGAATTAAGTTTGAGAAAATAGTCTGGCACTTTCTCTTTTGTGGTTACTACAGGGGTGCTACTTCTGTGTTTAAATGCTGTTGAGCTTCACTGTGAGCACACATTGGCACCTCACACTCCAAACGGGAAGGGATATTGGTGCTGTTAGTAAGAGAAGATGAAATGTGTGTTTCAGCCTTTGCTCTTCCCACGTTACCAGCTTTCTCTATGGTAATGTCTTTTAACTTACGCACAGCTGCAGCTCTTCAAAATTGCTATTTAATTTTTTTTTTTCTTTTAGGTATTGTCCAAACTGTAAAGAGCATCAGCAAGCTACCAAGAAGTTAGACTTGTGGTCGCTGCCCCCCGTACTGGTAGTTCATCTAAAGCGCTTTTCCTACAGTAGATATATGAGGGACAAGTTGGATACGTTGGTTGACTTTCCAATAAAGTAAGAAACCTAAGTACTTTGCTGCTCAAACTGTAAAAATTAGCATGACTAAGGCATGTGTTTTATTCAGCAATTAAGTAAAATGATTTTTTTCTCAGCTTCCATGTGTCAGTCCGGTAAACACTGATGACAGAATGCTTGTAGATGAAAAGTATGAACTCAGAAAAATAATAGTGGTAGATAAGTATGAAAGAACTCTGGGAATAGTTTTGCCTAAGATTACTGATTGCTGTTCCACTCCTCACAGAATGAAAGAGATGCACTGTCAGTGTAGTCGGGCTTACGTGGGTTTTGCAGAGAATGTAAAGGGCTGAAAGACCACCGAAATGTGAAAAGGTTAAAAATATTAACGTGACCTTCTTTTGGCTGTGTTTTTGTGTTTTTTGTGTTTTGGTTTTTTTGTGTTTTTTTTAAACAGCGACTTGGACATGTCAGAGTTCCTTATTAATCCCAATGCAGGGCCTTGCCGCTACAACTTGATCGCTGTGTCCAACCACTATGGAGGAATGGGAGGAGGACATTGTAAGTTGATTTCAAATATCACCATTCTACGTGTCAGCTTTCTGACCATGTTTATTTCAAGTTCTAATCACTTTGAAGCAATGTCATTTTATGATGGTTGAGGGATGAGGTTTTTTTCATTACTTTGAACTGCTTTGACAAGTATTCTGACAAAAAAAATCTGTATGAAATGAGCTTTCAAGGGTAATTGTAGGTTCTTTTATACTTATAGCTATGCACGTTGTGAAAAGAGAAGATGTAGGAGCTCCACAAGAGCTACTGTACTCTTACAAGTGACTTTGTCTTTCTTGCCCCTGTTTTTGTACCTTGTACAGCTCCTTGAAGGAAATAGAAAAATTAAAAAGTGCTTGAGGAATTTAATTTTGACTGGTCTTTCTCACTACACATTCTCTTTAGAAAGAGAATGTTGCTGGTTAAGCTTTCTTGGCTTACATCTATGAAGTTAAAAAGTCCTGAGACATTTTACTTTTTTGTCCTAGATACCGCTTTTGCAAAAAATAAGGATGACGGGAAATGGTACTACTTTGATGACAGTAGTGTGTCCACTGCATGTGAGGACCAAATAGTGGCAAGTACCTTTTGCATTTCTCAGACTGGGACTGTGGATAGTTTTTGCTTCTTGAGGGAAGAAAAAGGAAGATTAAATCATGAATCTTGCAGTAAATTTGTCAGTAGTAGTCCAAAACACAAATTATTTGCTCCAACATGGGAAATAATTTACTTGATGGGTTTCTTTCTACTTTCACCTTATAGACTTGAATGGAACGGAGGGGGGAAGGATAACCTGAGCTGTGAATGTTTGCATGTAAATGGCACTTGTGTCTTTTACAGTCCAAAGCAGCATATGTGCTCTTCTACCAGAGACAGGACACGATCAGTGGAACTGGCTTTTTCCCTCTTGACCGGGAAACTAAACAAGGTGCTTCAGCTGCCACAGGCATCCCACTAGAAAGTGACGAAGACAGCAATGAAAATGATAACGATATAGAAAATGAAAATTGTATGCACACTAACTAATGGAAGAACTAGAAGCCATAAAAGAGACTTTCGTACAGGGGATACCTATTGGAAGAGTGAAATTGCCCACCAAATTAAGAATAAAAATCTGAGATGGGGAATTTCAGATAACAGAATGTAAATCCTTATTACATTTTAACATGTGCAGTACTTGAAGTGAAACATTAAAAACTTAAACAGAAATTGTCTCTAATGCATTTACAGTCTTGTATTCACAAGCTATATATAGGAAATCACAAATAAACCCCTTTTAAGTTTTCTGCTGCTGTTCTGATGAATTATGTTTTCTTTTGTTTTGGATGTGAGTTAATAACTAAAATGTTAAATCTGTGGACTTCTGACATTTCTTTTCTTAGTACTGCAAGACTACTACTGCCAAGTCTAGTTTCTGGATCAATATATACGTGTTCCTTAGGCTGTCACACAGACTACGAGTAAAAACGTCATAAATATTTAAGCAGTAGTTTTCTTGAAACAGCAAATTTCTGTTTCTCCCTAAATTTTTTTTTTTTTTTAAATTTGGTCACAATAGAGGAAATAGCTTGAAAAGGTGTTTTAACCTTTTGTGATATAGTTGAGCATCCAGAATATCGTGTTCATCTTACTGCTGCTGTGGAACAGGTTCTGGATTTCATGCTGCATTAACAAAAAGTTTTTCAATTAAATGTAAGTATCCTTTGTTGCTTGTTGGAATCTACTCTGCAGACATAATTCCTGTTATCTTGCTTATACGACATGCATAATTTTAATCTGGTGTCCGTCCAAAATTTAAGATTGTGCTCTAAGTTCTCTCTCCCCAGTTTCTGTAGTTTGACAGCTTGCAAACTACTCTGTAATAGGGTCAGAGTTAATAGTATTCTGTATCCATAGTAATGACTGTGTATCGGGCTTAGAAGAGAATTTTTTTTTTTAATATAACCTGCCTTTAAATTGTTGATGAACAAAATGACTTTAAAAGGTAGCTTGGTTAATCTTCTTCGTGTGTTCCTGATGGGATTCACCATAGCCTTACAGCAGATCTGAAAAGGTGACTCACAATAAGAGAATTGGCATTTGCATGTTCAAGTCAGAACCTGTACAGTATATAAGGCAAATAAATTTTGAATTGGATTTTAAGTTCACCGTGTTCAGGGGTCCAGGATGCCAAAATAAGTGTGACAGTTGGAAACGTTCTTTAATTTGCTGCTTTCCCTTTGATCTAGTTGGAAGAATGTATCATTGATTTGTATACAACATACTGCCTTTGAGAGGGCTCATAAGTGTGGGGGCACACTTCACATATCTACTACCTGGAGAATTGCTTTGTGTCCCACTGTTTAAACTAATAATTTAAAAAGGAAAAAAAAAAAAGAAGCAAAAAGTATGAAGTTCTTCACTTGAACTAATCAAATACAATAGGTTATAAATTGTGTATTGTAAATAAAAGTTCACTCTGTGAGTGCACATTTTGGTAAATTATTTATTTATGTTAGCATTAAAAAGTTTGAAAAATTGCATTTGACCAGGATATAAATGAGGTATGTTGGACATGGCTTTGCTTTATACCTTGATATCAAAACTGGTGTTTCATCCTGGTATTTTAAAGCTGCTTTGAGGTTGTTTTTTTTGTTTTGTTTTGTTTTTTTTTAAATGTAAACTAACCTCCTGCATGACAGAGGTTAAAATTTTGTCTGCACTTGAGTTCACTTGGGTTTACATTTGAAATGCGCATGTTTATTTATACAGATTTCAATAAAGCTATTCAAGGCCTTATTTAGTCTTCCATTTTTCTTACAAATTCTTTTCCCACAGTGTCTGTGTGATGAGTAGTCTTTGTCTAAGACTTACATTATTATTATTATTACAAAATGGCTATTTGATGAGCACCATATCATGGAAGAAGAATAGTATTTCCTGAAGATTGCGTATACATAAAAGGGATTCTCTTCTGTCATTATCTGGCTCTAAAGAATTTTTAAGGCTGAAAAAAAAAAAAGTTGCTTATTATCATTAAAACCTATTATTTGAGAAAATACTAACTCTGAGATGCTTGGTGAAGTGAGGCAATGACAAACCGCTACGGTGGGGGGAAAATGATGCAAGCTCTTGGCCTAAAACCTTGGATTTAGATGTGGAATACAGTAACCCAATGCAAAGCTATGTGCTAAATAGCTTGTGAGTTTAATTTGCTTATTTTAATGAGAGCACATGAGAGATGAGATGAGGATCTGTGGAGCAGAGGAGGCATCCAAGAGAAACAATCATCTCTTTGAATAACACACACAAGGAGGCCCCCCCTACATTCTCTATGCTCCCATTGGCTTTCCCGTATCAGCCTAAAATTTGCTAGGAAAAATCATGAAGGAGCAAAGGATCTTGTTTGGATTCTCAAAGTCTCACTTTGGAGTTTGTATATTGGAGCTTTAATATTTGATAACTCAGTCTCCTAACCATTCTCCCTTTGAAAATACAGATATATGTATATAAATATATACACACACATATGTGGGATGTTATATTTAAAGGAATATACTTACATGCTAAGACTTGGATCATCCAGTTAGAGTTTTAAAGGATGTTGATCAAAGTAACATTTAGTCAGGAAAAAAATTACATGCCTAGTTTCTATTTTTTTTTTATATTGTTAATTTGGCTTCCAAGATTGCGGACACTGAGTTTGTAAACTCCCTAATCAGATACAAAAATCAGTAATATTTCTATATGAATATCTCAAAGGTTTCTGGGAATTCAGCCAAGTTGTGAGTTTCATAAAATTACTATATATTCACGCGTAAGATACGATAATTCGTCCAGTGTGGACATGCTTAAAATGACAACTACAGAAAGCGTATCATTCTTCACAGTGTCTATCCAAAGCTACTGTCACTCAGCTAGTCATTTATATAGAGAAGTAATGCCAGTGATTTTTTCAGTTACATTGACAGCAAGGTTTTTAATGGCTCTAAGTATCAGCATAAACCCTAAAATGATGAGATACAGTTAACTTCGTTAATGTGAGAGTCACAGAAGCAAAACAGAGTAGGAGGCAGAAGACAGCGTGCGGTTCCTGGTTACTCCACGGATTTAGCGACAGCGATACATCATTTAAAGCCTGGCTGGGAGGGAAGGAGATGTGGAGTGGTGCTGCCCAAGGGCTCTTACTTTAATTAGCTTTAAGACTGCGTTTTGGATGCTTCAGTGCAGATCAGTTCCCCGATCTTTTCTGTCATCCACTCACATTAAAGTCTTACCTGCCTTCCTGGCACACTGAAGTGACGTTTGCAACTTAGGGTTGAGATGACAGATGGGAAAAACTGTCAGATATTACCCTGCCAGATGATGTAGAAACTTCTCCTGCATCTGCAGCCGCTTGCTGACGGGAAGGCCACAACCTCTTATAGCTTTCCCAGCGAGTTGGTGCTGTGTTACAGAGTGTGGTGTATTTTTCAAGTATTTTGAAATCTTCAGAGGGATGTCAGTATGTCGAGCAAAGAAATTAATTGGCAAACCCACCAGTGTTCTAAACTTACGCCTTCCTTGACATCAGACAGGGTACAGTTTCTCATTGTTTCTAAGCACTAATTACTTTGAAAAAGAAAATCACTTAAATGTAGTGAAACAACATGAAAACTATATTTGATACAATAAGCATGTTCTTAGCCTGTAGGCGAATTGTTCTCTTCAGATTTTTTATTTCTTTTTCCTCGAGAGGGTAAACGAATTGTGAAAACTTCCTGTAGGAACTGACCGAGGATCTTGGAATAGTTTCCATTAGGAAACCATTGTGGAACAAAAAACCTGGAGAAGTTAGTGGCACTTGGTCTTAACTCAATGTTTTTATTCGGTGTGTAAAATATCTTGATCACAGCTACAGAAAGTGGAAAGCAGTAAGCACCCCTAAACCCTATGTAGCACTGGTGGACAAGTGATTCAGCACGAGCTGCCATTGTGCAACGGGGGTGTAAGAACTTGTCCTTTGATACATGAGCAGAAATGAGAAGTTGACTTGATCTTCCCAGGTCTTTGGTAAGGACCCTGGAAAACTACCCCATTTGACTTAGTACCTTTTAAAAGTTCAGACTATAACCCAAGCCACATTATTTAAAAAAAAAAATAAAATTACAACTCCAGAGTAAATACACTTGGACTAGTAGATAGAAAGAATTGTTTTCTTAGAAAGACTACTTGAAGTGCCTCAAATTATGTGTAATATCTCACAAGGAGGGGAATTACTGTACACAGAATATTGGAATGGAGAAAAACATTCAAAGAGCTAATGGTTCAAAACTGAAACCAGACAATCCAAAAATAGAGATTCAGTGTGGGAGTCTTTTATGCAATTACTTTTTAATGAGGAGAAGGAAGATGCCAGCAGAACTACTAGCAGAGGCAAGTGGTGGGTGCCTTCCCCTTGGGATGGAGGCTTGTCCGAGCCATCTGCCTTGGCCTTGAGATATGTGAATCTCTAAATACCCTGTTCTTTCTAAAGGAATGTTTCTCCCTCTTTAGACCTAATAACACCACTTAAAAATCACAGGTTTTGAGTGGAGACCTGAATCTGTAGGTATTTGTTGTGAGCTCAGAATGTTTTCAGGGAAGACCTTCGCTCACTAGTGCAATAAGGATTCATTAATATGGGAATAAAAGTCATGCTCTTGTTTCAGGGTAGCACATGGTATGATTTTTCTTCCCTTCCTGCACCATTGCTACTAGCATATCAAATTCACGAAGCTGCTCCAAATCCCATCTGAACAACCTCTTCAATTTATTGTCATTTCCTCAAAGTAACTCTTCCCCCCCAAAGTTACTGTCTAAACTGAAACACACATCTCCCTTTTCATTTTTCTCTTTTTTTTGCGTCCCTGCTTTTCCATGACAATTTCTGTTAAAGCACAAGGACTGGGCGTTCAGACATGCCCCTGTTGAAAAACACACAGTTCCTAAAAATGAAAATTAAAATGTATAATGCCCAGCGAGGAGAGGTGCCATGTTGGACCTCGTTCTCGTCAATAGGGAGGGGCTGGTGGGAAATGCTACACTTGGGGGTAGCCTTGCCTGCAGTGACCATGAGATGGTGGAGTCTGAGATCCTAAGGGAAGCTAAGAGGGGGAAGCTCAGCAAGCTTGAAACCCTTGATTTTAGAAGAGCTGACTTTCGCCGCTTCCGGAACCTCCTCGGTAGAGTGCCGTGGGATAAAGCCCTGG